GTGTGTATGTTATAAGCTCAGCTAGGCTTAAGTCGTTTTGTCGTATCTGGCGTTTGTTCACCTTCGGCGTTTCCTGAGAAGAACAGCAACCAGTAAGCTTGAGCTTAATCTCGTGTCTCGTCCTCTCAGCGCTGTAACAACGTAAGTGAAGCTATGTATCCAAGGGTCGAAGGGGTTGCCACAAATCAGCATCTATACGGTACCCCGCAGTTACAGGCTGTACTTCACACCGGTCAGCTTTTCGGACTTGGCCCACAACTCCTGCCGAACCAGACCGAACGTTCACGCTGCCTCGGCTTTAGTTACGCAGACATGTTGCACCCGGCAATGCGTGAAGTGTCCGAAGCTCCTCGGCCAATGCCTCATCCGTGGCGGCGGGGTTCAGCAATCCTTCAAAAGACTGGGGATCATATTGACATCGAGACGTGCAGGATGATTCCTTTCGTTTACGTTGACCTCGGGCTCCCGTAAGCGCAAACATGTACAGTCTGAGGTACAACAAGCAGCAGATGCAACTCCGGCCGTTTTCGAGCGGCGAGGCTCATGCCAATTCAGTCCTGGATAAACGCAACACGAGCAGAGGCGAGGCGCCAAAGTCCCAATACGTAGCACGGAAACCTTTTTATGACCCACCTCGCCTGCTGCCGGACGTGGAAACGGCTTTGCCATTTTCCTAATTTTCCTCCACCGACTCCCCAGCTTCGCTGCGAGAGCCGTGGCTGATTCACTGAAAGGTCGCATGCACCTTAGACCCCCAGTGGTGGAAACCTCGCACCCTTTGAGGTGATCATGGAACGCCAGGATCCGCACCTCAGACAGTGCCAAGGTCTCGCTCCATCGATCATGGAACCAGCTGCCGTGTGTCAACGAGGCATACACGACATGTGCATGAGACGTGCATTTTGCCCTGGATGACAATGACGAAGGAGCTGACCCAAAGGAAACCATCTCCACTGACCAGCCCTTCACACTGCTCTGCACAGCAAGAATAACGGGCACCCCCACTCCTGCAGGACCCAACACGGGTGTTACAACGGGTCACCCGCTTAGGTTTGAAATCCAGCGAAAGGGCTCGTTCTGCACATCGAGGTGTCGTCGCCACCTCTGCGAAGGTGCGGTTTCAAATAAGCTCTTCGTGGCGAAGGAGGAGCGGTGCAATGGATGCCTTAGATTTGGACATGCTCTCTTGCTTGGCCAACCTCAACCATTTCAGATACTCCTGGCCCGGTCTTCTCAGAAAGATCGATACTTAATCGAAGCCCACGACCGTTTCAAGGCGATGCCGGTACGATGACCCGCTTGATCTGAGAGGCATCTGCTCGTTCAGGATGTGGACTCCGGCTTGCCATCGGTTGTTCCAGGGGCATTGCGTCCCATCGCGGTCAATCATGACACCTCCTGCATGCAGCGCATGGTCCCGGCTAATAACAACTGCAGCGACACTCTGCACGCACTCATTCCGCCTGCTACATGACGGGTCGGACAAACGGCTGGCCCTGCATCTGCAGATACAAAGGTTGGAACCTGGCAGGGCACATTGATGAGTGCTGAGCTGGTAGGAAAACATGCTTCTGTCCCGTCTGTCCTGCCCATCCCATCCCCATGAAAAGTGCTCTTGACAAGGAGCTTGGAAGCTATCCCGGAGACAGCTAGTAACCTGCACGACCCAAATTCCACCCTTTGTGCATAAGCCGCCGTGGTCGAGACTCCAGCTGACGAATGAACTCCAAATCAAATTGTGCATACATCCATACACATACATATGTACGTATGCACAACTCATACATCCATATACATACATATGTACATACATGCATACATGCGTGTATGTATGTGGGTAGGTGAGATCGTTGTCGGGAACTTGGACACATGGAAAGACACTCTGAGCATCAGCATGCTCGCGATCGGGGCTTAAAGCTCTGCTGCAGTGACACATACGTGGAGTGCCTGCCTGTGCAGGCACCTCCTCTGCCTCCAGCTTTTTGAGGATTGACTTCCTTAGCTCTCACCCAGCATCACAGGCTTCGTGAACCTGAACACGTCAATCCATGCCATTCTCTGGACGCTTCCGGAAGACGTGCTTCTGAAAAATCAAGGGTACGACGATCACTACCGCTCTGGCTGTGCCCCTGAATCCGTAATCCTCCAAATCTGCCAGCCGGCACATGGCCCTCCCTCTCCCTTTCGGTGCAGCGCCATGTGTCGCATGTGGTCTTTTTTCCACATCTGCGCGCAGCTCTGGCAAAGACTGTGGCCGACTGAAGTAACTCCGCAGCCTTTTCGGCTTCTCCTTTGTCAGCGCATGCTACAGGCCAGCTGGCCACAGTAATGGAGGAATATTAAATGGGGCCTCGTGTATGTAAGAAGGGCAACACTCACCTTGAACCATAGACGGACAGTCACGGTGGCGGAGCACTGTCAGATACTGTAGCAGTACAGCCTGAGTCAAACCCTGCTGTTGCCCCGGAGACCAGTGCTGATCAAAACACGGCATTGTCGTCGTTGAAGTTGAGGTGATGCCTCGCCCAGTGGAAGCCAGCAAGCAAGCTTGGACGTGACGTGGCTCCCATCCGATGTACGGACTTCCGATTCCGAATTAGTCGATAGCTACCCGTGGGATCACTCGAACACTGGCGTTGCGAGCTCCAGCTGAGACTTATAAGCCGAGCCATAGAGGCACCTGTCGTCCCAAGCAGGTCGATGCGGCTCATCCTCCCTCGCTTTCTTTGCCTATGGCCAAGGCCGGGCTTCGTCAGGGACTTTAAAGGCTTACAGTAGGCCATTCTCTCTCGGATTCCATTTATAATAAGTGCTGTCGATGAGCCCTAGCCCTCTGCGTCCGGAGGCTCGGTGGTGGAGCCGGAACCCTGCGGATGAAGGAAGCTTTGACATTTAAGGAGGATGCAGGACGGCGCCCACAGGTTCTGGACACATGGATTATTCGTTCATTGTTGGTCTTCATCTAGATATACATGTTCTCACCAATATGCCCAAGGAGCTCCATATTCCACATGACCACAACGACTCATTTCGACCCTGCGAGTACTGCGTTTTACCGCACTCGCAAAGGACCAGCACCTGCAAATGGCGGTCCTCTTGCCGGGTGGCGGTTGCTCTGGACCCGGAGTCTCCCTCTGCAAGTCCGGCGACGGCTCGTCCGCCATGGCTTATGAAGCAAACTGCTAGTGTCGTTGGCTCAGGCTGAAGTCAATCAAGGACCATGCCAGCAAAACAGCGGCCCTAGCGGGCCTAGCCACGCGCTCGTGTTCGCAATTCGCGAAGGACTTGAGACTTTACTGGCTCTTGCAGCAAGAACTAACGCGCGGTACTTACAGTTGAAGGCGACAGACTGTCCAAGTGGATCAAAGGTATTTGCCGCCGACCATCGCACCTGAATCTTGGGTCCGAGACTATAGAACTAAGCCGTCCTGGAGCCATGTTGTCGAAGTACTCTCCGCCCGATTTGCCGTACCCGCCGTCTGCCCCAGCGGCCAAGAAGATCTGCAACAGTGACTCTGAGGTACAAGTACTTTCGTTCCCTCCATTTTTGCTACGTATGTACTTCGTAGAAGGACAGTGACAGCCGCCGCCACAGGAGCACCACAAATGCACACACATGCGCAATACTGCGCACATCAGGTTCGCACACCGTCTGCCGCACTAGCCTCTCAAGGGTAGCCCGGTAAATCCAGAAATCCTCAAGAAACTTGCCTGTGTGTTCGCGCCCAGCTGGACGGATCGAGTCACGAAGCTGATAAACGCATCAGCGGCAGGCGTGTCCTGAAGAAGCGTGAAGATAGAGCAGGATCGGCAGCCACGAAGAGCCAGCACTGCATCGGTAGGAGATTCTGCCAAAAAGGCATTGTGCAACTTGAGACATACGAATATCGAGCAGCTGCTGATGCAGTCCTTGCGAAGTTGGGTGGCCTTCTGTGGGTCACCATCTGCAGTCACCGTCCATCTCTGGAGGTCCGTGTCCTGAAAGCGTGTGCAGAGAGCTTCTACAATCCGCGGGCTTGTCTAGCGGTCTAGCGGATTGAAACCGGAGATGTATTCCTTCCGTTTACAATCTGCTAATCACCTTTGCAGACCTCGCTACTGGGAGGAGGCTTTTAAGTGGGTATATGTGACTCTAGTTACTTTACCTAATAGAACAGTGTAACCCTTCTTACTAAATCCCCTGATCCTCTAAGTAGTTAGTGCCCATTGCACCGAATCACCCACGCCGCGAAACCTTATGTTGTTTGCCGGCTGCAAGCATGCCCGCAAATTGCAGTCCAAGCCGCCACGCCGCCGGGATGGCAGGATACAGCAGTAGCATTGATGCCCGCCTGGCAAGGCACAAGCAGCCGGGCATTTTCTTGACCAATGGGAAGCGGTTCTCTCCTCTTCTGTACCGGGCCGGGGTACTGCACTGCATGAAGTGCATGAGCATTGAAAGAAGAACGTGGCAGGCCTTTTTGAACTTTCGGTCCAACTCTTTTGCGAAGAGCACGTTGGCCAGCTTTGACTGGCAGTATGCACCTCAGATACGACTGCTCCCTCTGGCTGCTCTAGCTTTCTGCAGAGCAGGTTCAGTGCTCTTCGGATGATGTCCTGCGTACTACATTGTTCAATAAAGTATCAGACAGCAGCAAGCCCTGCAGACCGGGTAACATCGGTAATTTTCCGAAGCTCATCTGCGTGCACGACTTGGTCGGCAGTTGCTGGTCGGGGGGGTCCAGCATCAGGACGGACACCCGAACTGGCTTGGGACCACGCCCCACTGAGTGTATCGTTCAGGTGCCATGAGGTCTCCTTCGCTATGCGAAGCCAATTTCGTTGGGCTGCCACATGTACTGGCTGATTCACACACAGACAAGTGCACTATTCAAGGCAATCGCAGTGAGCTGATGTCTGACTGAGCGAGACATCCAGTTTCAGCAATTGTCTCGACGCCTGGCCACGACTGAAGCAGTGCCAGCTCCTGTCATGAGCTCCTTGTTGGCTCCCAGGTGCGCGGTGCTCGATACCGCGATGACCCGGGCTCCGTCCTTCGCCTGCTGCGCTAAGCTTCAAGCCGCCATGTGCCATTCAGGGCCATATTACATTCCGAAGTCGCGCCCCATCAAATTCAAATCGAAGCGCCGCACATGGCAGACTGCATTCATACCCCTCTGGTGTTCCCGACAAGCTGGCAGCAGGCCTTCTCCAACAAAGGCAAAAGTTCGCCGGTGAGCGCCTCAGAGAAGGAAGCGACACGGCTGGCTTGCATACGTTGGCCCACCTTCCAGAACCACCTGTGGAATCGCAGCGGTTGCCTTGTTTTTCTTGCTCTGCTTTCGAGCCGCATAGTCTGAGGCTACTAAGCTTACGGATGCCCTCAGCTCGTCAACCCCATGGCCATGAAGACCACTGACTGCATGCACGTAGGGCCAGATGAAAGTCGCTTTCCTCGGTGTCACCAGACCCGAAGTAACGTTCTTGAACCCCAGTGCAAGTTATGCGGTGCCCGGAAAAATTGAAAGAAGCTGCTTCATCTCCAGAAGAGACCTTGGCCGACTGGTAATTCGAGCGACCCTAAACCAGTTGGTCACTTGGTCTAGTCTTTTCTGCAGTACACCCAGGAACATCTCACCCAACTCCAGCTGGATGGAGATAAGACGCACGACATGTGCCATGGTCCTGTTGAGCATTTCTGGCGAACATTGGTCAACCTGGCAGCCGCACTGCAAGCTGTACGCTTCTTCGCCAAAGAGATCACGCGGGTTTACTGCCTTGGTGAGCACCACCATAAGCTGCCGCTGCCGTTCTTCCAGGAGCTCCCACAGCTCTTCCTTGTGATCACGCTCCTACATCTAAGATCTGGGGCTCACTCTTTGGAACATGCGGTGTGCGCCCCCTTGCAACTCTGACTCTTAATCAAGATTGCTACAGTCTTGCTCGAGGGTCGCACCGCCTTTGCGCCGAGTAGCGTCTGATCGCTTCACGCCCACTCTGCCGTCCACCAAGGAAACGACTAGGCGGAGCTGATCTGCATTAGTCCTGGAGACTCGTGCCGTCTGCACCCATGCATTCTGAGGACGTTGTGCATACCCCCTTGTTTCACGTGGGTCTCAGTGGTTGTTTCGGTTGGAAGCTGGCTGCAACAGGCGACACTGCTGGCTAAGTCCATTTGCAGCTATGAAGCAAATATCCGTCAACCAGCTCCCTCCAACTTTCCTTGACCTCCACAATCTGCTAGGCACACAGCTGGGGTCGGACGACGGAGCTGCATTGCAAACGTTCTGTTCAAAGCCTCCTTTGGAGTCTTCGCGGCGTGTCCATAGCCCGGCAGATCCACCAATGTTAGCGTTCCACCAAGCTCAAAGCGGAACAAGTGCCGAGTCCTCATAGCCAGTCACGCCAACGGCTCAACAAATGAAAGACACATGAGTTCCGGGAAATGCATTAAACAAGTTCAGGAGTTGAAACGAAATCAAAGCGGTTTGCTGTCCTTCCCGGCGTGTGCGACACAGGGGCCGCCGTGGGTAAGTGCAACTTCTTACCTCAGAACGCTTGGGCAGAATTTCTGGACATCGGCCAGATCCAAGAGTTGCAGCTTCAGTGTAACCGGATTGGTACAGTAGCTCAGTAGCTTCCACTTTGGCCATCTCTGTGCCAGATGCTAAGCAGTGAGCTGTTGCTCCAGTGCTCAGGAACAGGAGAAGGCCGACGATGCAGCAGCATGTTCCTCAAGCAACCCAAACCGAGCAGAACGTAAGACTTCAATAAAGCCTGTAGGCCATGGTCCATCTACTTCGCTCTTTGCAACAGTCGATGCATGGCACAAACAGGTTTAGCGAGTCATTGAGTCAGGTATCAACAGTGTGGACTTGCCGACGTTGGATCTCCCGACGAAAGCAATGTGCGGAGTCTGCCTTCGGGACAGTGGACAGACCCGAGGCAACAACATGCAGTCCTCAACCAACTGCCCGGCTACCCTTTCATCTTGTAGAGCGTCTGCGCCACAAGGACTGGAGTGGCATGAATGCCTGACCAGGCTGAGCTTGGGCCGTTGGCTCAACCCGCCGCCCCGCACCTTTGCTAAAGAGCTTCTCCGTGAACTCGAGGTGGCTTCGCTGCAACCAGGACGGCGCATGACTGGTGTCCATGGCCTTGGCCAAACGCAAAGACTGCAAGCTCCCATCCGCAACTTGCCGTCCGCCGAGACTGCCAAGTTTCATTCCGCAGGAGCACCCAGGGGCGGGCTAAAACAGGCTCCACCTGTCATGCAGCAGCGGTGGAAGACAAGCAGCCGGAAAGGTGTGCACACGCCTTCAGCTGCGCAGCAGCTGCCATGGCCGCCATGCATTACTGTGACTGAAGCGAGGATCTCTTCGATGCCGGAAGTCGCTGCCGTCAGGGTGTGGTTTAGGTGGGGCTGCTGGCTTACAGTCTGGATCATGCTTCATAACACAACCCTAGCGCTGCTTTCGCATGCCTGCCGAGGACGGCCTTTCTGATCAGGCCATGACAGGGGCATGAATGCCTTCTTAAGCTGACATGTTGAGCAACCCAGCTGTCGAGCGCCTGGTTCCCACACCGAGCTCACCACCATAATCTCAAGTGCCGACATCAGAAATGTAGCACAATTGGCTTAGAAATCGACGACTCATTCTCACGGCTGGCCTAATCCAGACAAGTTGCAAAGTGTCCGAGATGGTTGACTCCAAGCTGCTGCTCAAACCCGTTCTTCGTCTCCTAGTGCGCAGGCTCAGCGGCATCTGCTCACGGTGAAAGCTGGCACGCAGGAAGTATGACATCTTGCAACCATGGAACTGGCCAAGCTGATCTTGGCATGGAGCTCGCGTGAAGTAACAGCGACGCGACAAGAACACTGCACTCCGAATGTCCGAGTCTCGGTTTTTGCAGGAGTTGGTCCTTTCTCTCTGGGATGGCCATGACCCCTGCGTTGTTCATGAGCACATCGATTTTTCCGCCTGGAACCGAGCTGGGTTCTGAGAGCCATTGGGACAGGGCTTAAGACACTGCAATCATCCGCCTTGTCGAGTCCCACCTGCCCCCCTCCAAAGATGCAAAACCTCTGGGGGTTCCACCATACGGTTCTTTCGTGAAGCGCTGTTTGAAGGACTTCACGTTTTCCAGGTCTGCCAGGTCCAGCCTTCGTCGGGGATCACAGATGTCGGGCTAAGCTGCCAGCACAGAGAAAAGATGTCGACTCATTCATCACGGCCGAGACTCTGGAGGAAGTGAACATCCTCATTGCCGGATGCGGCCTTCCTCGGAGGTATCAATGTGGGCATCTGATCTCTGATGGCTAATATATTTGCGCATTATCTGAGTATAAGCTAGGCTTTTTTCATGGGACAAGATCTTGATCGATACTTGGGCTTGCGACAACACTCAGGGGGCTGGTGCAGTAGTGTTTTTGCCACTCTGCCTCGTTCGTCCACGAAAAGATCAAACTCGACCTGTGTAACGGAGGTCGAGGTGCACATCCGCCAAGGCCTTGCGACCCTTCTCCTCACTTCGGGCCGTCAGCACGACTGTAGCTCCAGCCTCGTGCAGGCAGACCAGTGGAGCCCGCATTCTCACGCCAGAATCAGCGCATTACAGTATGTTTCAGATCGGAGAGCTAGGAAATGGAGGGACCAGGGAGGGGAGACAGATTGTTGCAGTAGCCCGGCCTTGGCGAGCCGCAAAGCGGATTCCTTGCCAAGACCTGCAAGGAAGGATTTGGCGCTGAATTTAAGCGCCGCTAGAAGACCTCCGGACGCTAGCTGCTAAGCTGCTAACCTCTCAGTCACAACCTACTGAAGCAAACACACACGATGCGATCGAGCTCTGCTTAAATTATTGAGCTTTCGCTGCGGCGGGGCACCGGTGTTTCCGCCGGTGATGACCACCTGCTTCCAGACTGCAGATTCATGCGGCTGCATGCTGTTTGTGTACCCGGGCTGATGTGCGAAGGCTAGTTAAACTTCCAGACCCGGCCGTCTTGCCCTTCAGCGATGCAGGCGCCGGATCGAATTCCGGCGGACCATCGATGGCAAAACGCTTCCTTAGTCATCAAGAACTTGAGCGATGCAACACTCATCTGTCCCATTTTGCACAGACTCGCAGAGCCCGAAACCCTAAGCCCTGCATCTGCCCAACAAGCATGAGTCAACCGCGCACGCGCACACACACGCACACGCACACACACACACACACACACACACACACACACACACACACACACACACACACACACACACACACACACACACACACACACACACACACACACGAACGCTTTCTTTGAGCGTACAGGGCAGTGGATGATGGTGACCGTACGTGGCAGGGAGGGGGCATCCAGCGTAGGGTGACGAGGAGGGTGTCCATAAATCACATAAAAAGTACTACCTGCTGGCAAAGAATCAGAGCCGCCAGCCCTAGGGCTCCACCGGCAAGACCTTTGCTGCCCACAGGAAACCACGGCTCCCAGGCTTTGTTTGACGACAGGAGCATTGTTTCGAAGCGCATGCCCAAACGAATGTGGGCCAAAGGGGTAGTCCAGCGTGGCGCAACGGCTCTTATGCCAAGAGGGGCACTGTTGTTATTTTGAGAAACGAGATCTACACGAGAAGCAGAAGCCTTCACAGCCCACACCCTTCATCCTTGCACTACATCTCTCTCGGCATGCCGACATTGCATTTTCTCAAAACTCCGATGGTTCGATGCAGGGAGCCTAAGGCCGACAGCCGGGGTTTCGGAAGCTAACGCAAGCATCTGGCCATCTGGCCTCGGGCACGGTCTCTTCTCAATCCTCACCTCTCCTCCCGCTGACGTTCGCAGAGGCTCCCCAACTGAAGTTAGCCAAAGTAGCCTAGAAAAGCTCGACGTGGGAGGCCCTCGCTCTCCTTTCGGGTGGGCGCAAAGCAGTCAAGCAGATGTGCGAATCTGACTGAGGGCTCAAACACACTTATAAGCATAAACAACGACTGGTGAGAGCCAGCATGCTCGTGCGGGGAATCTCTAGTTACCTTTGGAGTTCATCTCGTAGCTTCCCGCCGCTGCCGGCTGCTTGCTACCACACCAGCATCTCTGGGCTACCACACTTCAAGCACCCAGACATCAAACATTCTAGAAAGCACATCTAAGCCGCGTCGAAGCCTGTGTCCATGCAGTCAACTTGCTGCAGATGTGTCATTTCTTCTCAGAGCATGCCAGCAACGCAGAATATGAAGTTCCCGACTCCCGACCGTCCTCGGCAGCCGCCGCATGCCGCGCGGTTCGCACCTTGCGGCGCTGAGCGGCGCCAGCAGCCAGCAGCAAACCTAAGGGCTCCTACGACGGACAGACGACGTTGGTAGCACGCAGGGAAGGCTCTTTGGGCTGTGGTCGGCTTCGTTGTCTGCGGTATGGCACCAAAACCTTTTGGCTGTATGAGAGATGTTTGGATTCGGCTGCAGTAGTGATACTTCAGACATCTTCAGATTTTGAGAGCTGACGGTAATGGTCTCGAGCAGCGAGACAACTCCAGCTGTTTTCATATAACTAGTAACTTACCACAATCTTCAAAGTTCGTAAATCTGAGCAGAACTTGTTTCTTTGCTTCTTTGGGGTGGAGGAGGGGGCATGTCGATTCGGCCAGGCTTTTTAGGCAAATATGACAACGCGAAGATCCCAGCTGCACTTCTGTTTCTTTGTCTCTCTCCTCTTCTTCTTTGCGTTCATGGTCAATGCTCCCTTCTCATTTGTCTTATTCGTTGCCATATATCAGAGTTGTCGCTCTGTGTGGTGTTTCCGCAGTGTTCGAGTTTCAGGCTGCAGCACGCCGCTCCAACACCACCAGTAGGCGGCTTCTGGACGGACGGGCCTGGCAGGGGGCTTTCGGCAACCATCTTAGAACTGCAGACAGGGATAATTGTACCGTATACTTGGTATAGACATGTATGCCAATCCTGCGCGCAACCTCGATTGTCATCTAGCCTTGTGCACATGGACATCGAGAAATACCGAGAGCAACGCCTGACGTCGGAGGGCGTCGGAGCCCTGAGCCTGGCACTGCTTGGGCGCATGCATCATGGCGGCATCATGCACTTGCTAGCTTTCGTTCTTTCTGTGCGCCTGTCCCAGCCGCCAATTCCACCGTGGGTGCAACATGGAAGACTTTCAAAGAACCCGCTCCGAAACCAACAGGCTGCACCTGGCCCACAGCTGCCTTTCCCTGCCACTAGCCAGGCAACCGGCCCGTGATTTGGATTCTGACGATGCCGATCGTGACGGTGAAGATCGTCCGGGGATTATTATGCAAGCATGACGATAGTGATAATGATGGCCTGGACTGCCTAGATGGCTATCGAGATTGTGGTTCAAGACACTCCATCAAGCTTTCCCACACACACACACACACGGTAGCCTGCCACAGCAGCTGTGGGCTCCTGAGAACAGTATGGGCGGCGACTGTGCACCAAGCTGTTCTGCATTCTAGCACGCTTGGCGTCAATTTGACAGAAGGCAGCTTACCTCTAAGCAGCTGCAGTTCAGTGTGGCTTGCAGCTTGGCTGCAACCACGTCGTTAGCAACTGTTCGGCTAGCAGCGATTGAAAGTACCACAGCTTTCAACAGGAACTGTGTCTCGTCTCAGCTCCAATCGTACTTGGCTTGTAGCAGCTCGAAGACTCCCCCCACCTCTCCCCCTCCCGCTCCCTCCCCCTCCCTTTTCTTGGGCTTCGCCCCACATAGGACGTCTCGAAATCCCTCCTTCAGAGACGGAAGCTGCACTGGCAGAAGCGCCATAGCTCTGTCAAGATTGTGCTTGTCGGCTGTACGCAAAAATTGAGGCTTAGTCCTCATGAACTTCTGCACAGTGAACTGACAAACCCTCACTGGCATGTGCACGTGTCAGCTGGCCAACCGAAAGCGACGCGAGTTGCACTGGTCAACACTGTGACAGCCGGGGAGTCCCATTTTCATCCTGTCCTACTCTGCTTGCTGGCCCTACCACCAATTAGCCCAACTCGATGTGATGCCTCGGAGATGCAGGCTGCCTGCATCCCTCCTCTACAGCTTACACTGCAGTAGTTGTCTGTGGTCAATGAGCCCATGATCCGTTTTTTACAATGCCACGGCATCTCTTTGGAGCGCTGCATCCTCGTGTCCAAGTGCTTCTGTACAACGAGCAGGAGTCAGCTGGGGGCTTCCAGCGCCTTAGAACTTGCGCCCTCTGCATGTCATGACCTCCGCAAGCTCAGCGAAACTGCCGTGGCGGTCCCCTTCATTTGTTGACAGTTTGTTGCTCAACATTGGCAGCGATTTATCCTGGACACAGAGGCTTATCTTAGGTCTTAGGCTCTCGCAGACCAGCTGGCCATTGGAACCGTTTATTCGTCGAGCCCTGAAGTGCTTAGCAAGCTCAGATGAACGTGTCAGGTTAATTAACATCAAACCCCATGCTTCCAACCAAAAACGAACGAGGAAACCCGTTGCTCCTCAAGAGCGATCCCTTCGTGGTCTGGGGCTTGTGAACGGACGGCGCAGACTCCCGGGCCCCGGCAGAAGCAGCTTCCTCCCCACTCTCGGCCTGCCACGCCAGGCCCAAAAGTAAAGTCCGAGAGACAAGGGAACAACCGGGATGGATGGTCGACAAGTCTGCAAATCCTTAACTTAGCAATGGCACTTTCATCCGCTGTTCTGAAAAGCAGTCAGCACAAAAGGCTAGGTCTTGCCAACAGTACCCACAACTTGCGCCGCTTGATGCTCAAGGAATACCCAGGCTTTGCACACGCCTCTTTTTCACGCGGTTCACTAGAGCTTGTCACATGTATCGCAGGCCTCGCTAGCCAATGAGAAAAATTTGTAGGATTGCAGTCTGCGATGCTGCTGCTCGACCTCGCTCCTCAGGTTTCTGCGATACTCAAAATCGCAGGGAGTTGGCTGCTCAATGCAGCCTGAATGGAACCCTCGAGGCGTGAACTCCCTACTGCTGTCTCACCGTGCTGCTACGCGTGGCTGAGTGCTCTCGCATCGCCTGCTTGACAGGCGTGGTGAGCCAAGGGCGACGACCGAGGGCCTCCTGCAAGACGTGCGTCAGATCCTCGTCGTTAAGTTGCCTTGCTTCAACAGCAGCGACCCGATGCCCCATCCGTGCGATTGAAACAGTTAGCAGGAAGCATGCGGCCAGGAGTTGCAACACCGGCGATGAAACAGAGGTAGTGCTACTGATGCAGCGCACACCACATACATGAAACTGAACACACTGACCAAGACGAGGATGCTGACTTCAAAGCATGCTTCGCTCAAGGGTATGTGATGCTGGCGAAAATTTTGAAGATGGCAAAGGAGAGTCTAAATGGAAAGGTTCCTCGTGACGACGACAACGACAATGGACCAGTCGGTTGCTGTGATGGTGGCAAACATGACAGCGATTAGGATCGAGCTGATGACACAGGTGAATCCTTGCTCCTCGCTGTTGTTGTTGTTGTTGTTGTTGTTGTTGTTGTTGTTGTTGTTGTTGTTGTTGCTTCTGCAGTTGTTGCTGCTGCCTTTGTGGCTTCTGGCTTTTGCACTGGCATGGCTGCAGTGCATGCAGTTGGTATTGGACATGCTTCGTTTGTTCTGACATCGAAGCCTCGCTGATACTGAGGAGATGCTGTCGACAGCCCCAGCTCGTCCAAAGAGTCCAGCCTGGCAAGCCTCTCCCTGGACAAAGGTTTGCACAGCACCAAGCCAAAAATTCACAAGTTCACAAGTCTAACAGCCAAGTCCTCAACTTCTAAACCCCGGTTGACCATGGACGGAGGGGCTCGGAACCTCAATCGCCAGCTCCACTAGGTGCCAAGCTGCAAGGTGCAAAGGAGAAGCTTTGCTGGCGGCAGCTTGGACTTCGCTTCCTGTCGGTCATCGTTCAACCCCAGGTCCTGCAGCAGGCCAAAGGTCCGGGTTACAGGGTACAGGATTCGGATTCGACTGCAATTTATGGCGCTGAAACTGTAGGGATGGGGACTAGGGCTAGGGCCTAGGGCCAAGCACAAGTACACCAGGTACTCCCCACATCGGCTGCCAGAAGCCCCCAACTCACAACCTGGAAAAACTGGGGTCATCTTATTCCCATGTAGCCGATTAAACCTCGAAGACTTACGCTCTGTTTCCTGTCTGCACGATCCAGATCCTGACGAAGCCGGACACATTATGTTAAGAAAGCACAGGATTCCAGGCCTGGCCTCGACCACTGCTGCAGCCATGGCTGTTGCTGTTGCCTCTGCGTCATCCGCAGCAGCCGCAGCCGCACTTCCTTCGAGTGCGGCCCCCCGCGCTTCCTTAGAGCATTCAGAAATTGACTACAAGGTCCAAGCCGATGACATTGCTCCAAGCTTGGTTGACATGGTTGCAAAATCGACGACCCATTACCACCACCTTATTAAACTTGCCAGTTTGTAGCCTCACGCCTTTCAGGTGTTAGCATGGGCCACAAACGAAAGGTTCTCACAAACCGTACTACGCCAGGTGGCTCGTGGCATAGCAGATGCCATCTCGGGGATCTTTGCCGGCATTTTATTGGAGGTCTGGCAGGGCCGGTCCAGTGCTAAGGTCAAATAATCGCTTCCGAGGCACGACAACAGAAAAAAAACCAACAATCTCGAGAGCTACAAGTTGCGTTTTTTGCCACCTGCCCAGCTGAACAAAGTCGTGTTTGGATCCCAAGGTTTGCTGGTAGGGGTTGAAGCTATCACTTAACCGTAAGATGCGGTCGTGCTCGAAGTTTGGTGCACGCTTGCCTATGGCCTGGGAGCTAGCATCAACCTGAACATAGTATTGCAACGACAACAAGCACTTCTGAGTTATTGCTTTGCGCAGGCAGGTACCGCCCGATAGGAATTAATTGAATTTTGATTTCGGAAGGCCTGGCCTCCTTGGACTGCATCTCGAACGGAATGGTCGCAGGCTGTCCGGCTCTGGCGGCCAAACCAGGAGGCATCACCAAATCGTCGGGGACGTCCGGCGCCGGTAAGGACTGCATGTAGCCGCTACGGCCGGTGACATTTAGCTGCACTGGCTGGATGCCAGACTTGCCCGGCCTCTCCTGAGGCACAGGTGACGTCCCCAGCGGCTTGACCCAGTTGCCAGGAGCCATCCCGGACATGCCATGCCACCAGCTGTTTTCTACGGGTGCATCGAGTGCCGGCGAAGTCATCGACGACATACCGGACTGCATCGGGGGTGAAGTCATGGAAGAAGAGCCTCGTGGTGCCGAACTCTGCATTGCAGCACCCGAACGCTGTACAGTGAAACAAACCCGCTGAACATCAACGTCGAATTCCTGAGCCATCCTCGGCAAGGAGGTCCATGCGTTGATGCCATTGGCAGCAACAATGAGATCCCCCTTCTGAATCTTGAGGGGCCACTGGTTGCGTTGGTTCCATTGATCTACGTAGCTCCCAGGAGCTACTTGACCAACTAGCAAACCACATGAGCCAGGCCCGGTTACGAGCATCACATCGACTCCGAGCTTACGGCCCAGGGGTTTCTCGATGTCCACCTGAAAGGTGAAAGGCTGTCCTGCTGGAAGGCTCTGACTCTGACTCTCCTGCCAGTAATTGCCGCCGCCCAAATCATCGCCGGCTCCTCCCCCTCCTCCTGCAAGCTGCGAAAGCCGTGAGCTTGGCATCGAGAGCGCATCCGGCATTTGAAGCCCCCGTCCGGCATCGCCACCGCCGCCCAGGAAGGCCTTCCCACCCTTTCTGCTTGCAAAACTGGAAGTGTCGGATGTCCTCCTCCTCATCAAAGTGACCAGGAGCTCGGACTTCGCCCTCATCTCTTCCATCATGGCCTTAATATCGCTAAAAACACTGTTGACACGCACGATGTAGTCCCCGGGTTGAATAGTGAAGGCATTGCCTTCACACTGGCAGTTCCATGCGAATACCACGCCTCCCTGGAAGACCTGTTTGACCATCAAGCAGGCAAGCTCGGGTGCCGGAAGCATGTCAATTCCTAGATATGCTCCATAGGGCTTATGGAGAGTCACCTCGAAGGTGAAGCCTTCGGGACCTGTCTTGCTCGGCACCTCCATGGACGGCGCTGTTGGCGCGGGAGGTGCCATGCCCATTCGGCCGAATTGCTGACCCATGCCTTGGCTCATGCCTTCCATGGGTCGGTTCTGTGCTGCTCTCGTCATGGATCCGACTGCAGACTCGAGCATGGACATGCCTGGCCTCTCGGCCGGCATGACCTGCGGTAGCTGGTTCTGTGGCAGAAACTGTGAATCCAGGAGCTGCTTCCGCAGCACGGTGATGCGAAGCGTGTCTTGAGCATTGCGCAAAAGATTGGAAATCGCATTTGCGTCATCTTGCACGCCGTTGGCACTCGCGATCAAATCTCCTGCTTGAACGCGATATGGCCCGACAGATTTCCGATTCCACTCCTCAATCAAACCGCCAGGCCTCACCTTTTCCACCACCAACAAACTCCCATCCACTTTGGTTTTGGCCAAAATCAAGTCTATGCCCAGTGGCGTGTCTCCTGTGCGGCACAAGTCAACCTTAAAGGTGAACTCGTTCTGCATGGCGCCCCTCAGCGCATTGACCACGGTCCAGGCCCGCAAAAACTGTCTACTATTGTCTACTGTGTCTCAGTGGCTTTATACAAATCTGCTTGAGCCTTTCAAGGATAGCACCTGCAGTATCACGGCTATCCTCTCAAATCGGCAGCTCTGCGATTCGTTAAGTTCGTCAAGCACAGCATTTCTGCAAACTGAATTGCAAAGTCTCGGAAAGCAAGATTGGGAATCGAAGATGCGTTGCGCTCAGCCAGATCTTGCCGTGCCTGCTTGTATGCACGCCGTCGCACCGTTTGACCCTGCGATGGCAAAGCGGTGAGCATGACGGCAACAACAGAGCAGCTAACACCGAAAGTTATCGAAAGTCTTGATGCCTGTCGCCTTTCGCAAGACAGGAAGTCTGGCATCGCGACGGGGAAAGCATGGTGGAGTTAGAGACCTATCGCGGCTCATCTCGCAACCGGCCTGCTTACAAACAGACAGTTCTCTATGATTCCTGCACCAAGTCGGATGTAGAGCATCACTTTTCCGCGTCTCACGCAGCCTAGCTAGGCTTCTAAATGCAGCCAGAAAGTCTGACTCGGGTTTCCTGCCAGAAGGAGAAGACGCTTAACCAAGCAAATGTGGCATGGCTTGCGTCCACGAATGCCATGTCTTAATGGCTCGAATTCTCTATGGTGCTAGCACTGCTGTACACGTCACCGTACGACTGCCTCAAAAGCCTTGCAGATATTACCGTGCAATTTGCCTGCAATAGCCCGATTCCTCATCTTGTATCTAAGCGCGTGGCCCACGAAACAGTCCTTGTCTTGCAGCCCAACCTCTGTGGGCGGCTCTACCATGCCTTGTGATGGTGAATGCCCTCACTGCTTCTGTACATTGGCGTTAAATGAAAAATCTGGAGTGCTGTTGCGAAAAGCACATTCCCACACTGTGCGGGATGGCTAGACAGGCGGTCTCCGTACAGGGTCCTACGCCTGGCTACAGCGAACCGTCTCTAACGGGGATGCCGGGCACTCCAACGGCCCCTCAGTCGGCTTCGGACACTTCAGCCCGGATGCGATTGCGAGCCAAAGGTCGCCGATCTCCTGGCACCTGTAATGCCAAGGTGGCAGAGGCTCCTGCGGCTCTTGCATGGTTTTGAACCACGCTTGGGCCCTCAACGGCAGGCAGTGGCACCGAGCGAGCGATGTCGACTGCGGCCTGGGACAGAAACGGGCCCTCTGGGACCGAAGCCGCCGCGACTGGCTGGGACACCAAGGCAGGGCCATCAGACAGTCGGAAACTGGGCGGCGCTGACAGAATCCTTGGATCGGATCGGTGGCGTTTCCAAACGAGCTCCGTTATGCACACTGCGTCCAAAAAAGCAGCATGCGCTTCCTAAACCTGCGAAACGCTTCAAGCACAACGGCCAGGATTGAGGCCGAGCTCTGCGGGGCAAAGCCAGCATGAGTCGTGGTAGCTGGCACGGCTGAGCTCATGCGTTGAGGCTGCGGTCTCCCGGTCGCAGCCATGCCCAGCCCGGCAGTGCCTGCCCAAGTCAGAGTTTCAACCACGCATGGAGCCATCCAGATCCGCTTTTGGAGCGGCCGTGCTTTGCGTCCTGCCTTTTTGTAACTGTATGTATTATTGCATAATATATATATATATATACACATGTATAGGGAGGGAGGGAGAGAGAGAGAGAGAGAGAGAGAGAGAGAGAGAGATCACGAAGGCGTGGCGCTGCCATGCTGTGAGATCTGCCGGCCACCTGGAACGGCGAAAGACAGGCTCTTCTGCGGAAGTCCTCAGCGAAGAAGGAACCCTTATGACTTATGTCTCCGCGATCTTCTTCGAATATTCACAGGATGTCCTAAGAGAGAAACGAAAGCAACACAAGCCCTGGGATATTGCATCACATGCGCTGATCATCTGAGGATTAACGGGAGACTGCGATGTGAAGCCTTGTGATCGTCCTCCTCCGACAATTCCTTCTTGCAGCTGATGCACCCGGCAGAGAGTAACGCAGCTGCGCATCTTTGGCGAGATCGAACCTGTGGATCATTCTGAACATTGACCCCTGCTTGAGAGCTCAAGAAGGACGGAACTTGATTTCAAGTGCTTTTCCGCAGTCGTGCTTTTCCGCAGTCGGCCATCGCCAATACACGTACCGTTGCATGCCTCTTCCTAAGGGGTCATGAGTCGGTCATGAACTAGGTACAGAGGTTCGTGGTGAGCACGCAGCACTACTGCCGGAAGGAGAGAGTTGACCTCAAGAATTGAGTTCTGGGGAGCTCTGGAACTCAAACCTAGCAGGATTTGAAAAACATGAAGGCATGTCAAGCAGCTGCGGCCGCATAGGCTGAACGTGCATGTTGGCAATTTGCGACATGAGCATCGCGGTCCTCGAAGGCTTGATCTCACCCACAAACATTCCACGAGCTACGACAACTCGACTTCGAGGTCCTGGGCTGCCCTGTGGGAGGCACTGCATTCGTGCCGGGTCCAGCTGGGTCCTCAGCTACTCTCGTCATGTACACTGATCTTGTTCAAACCGTGCAGGCCACTGCAGCCTGGATGCAAAGTCGGCAAGCTCGGGAAACACTGGCGCTGCAGAGCCACATGGGTGCGTGAGTGCACGATGGCTGGTCGCCTGGTTCAGACACTTTCGAAGCAACTAGCACCTAGCGATGGCCTGCAAGCAGTCTTCTGGTTGTGGGCCTGCTGCAGATGCAACGGACAGTCAGAAGTCCGGGCCCGTCAGGATTCTGTTTTGGCCCCTAGCTTGGCTCAGTCTCTTTGAGCCTCCCAGGTGGATCGGCTGAGGACCTCTGGTGCCACTGGAGACGGTGCCAGGGCCCGTTTAGCTGCAGACCTGAGCTGGCATGCGGACTTCACATCGGAAGGTGAGGCCATGGCACTGCAGACTTGCCGTAATCATGCCACAAATCTCCGTCGAAACTAACGTCACCAAAAGGCTTGATAGCGTCTGTTGCAGAATCAGCCAGCGAGGTCCTCAGCGAGGACGACACCACAAGATGCCCATGAAAAGTCGAGAGTACGTCCAAATTCCAAATGTACGGACGGACTTAGTCTCTCTCTCACGGACTCACACTGGACTCAGTCACCTGTCACCCACAACGCGCGATTTCGCCAATTTCCTGCCCCACTGGAGGGCGGATCACTCTGCTAAACCGGCTTAGTCTTGCTGGACATCTCATACCTTCCTGCATGAACGGGCTGCGGCTATTGCTATTGTAGGGCACTTTCATACACTTTCCATCGAACTTTCCTTGCTGTTTGGGTTTGGGGCACACGTGTGGCTCCGCGAGCTCCGCCGCTCTGCGCAGGGAGAGCGCCAGGAAGCGGGCAGCCTCCTGCGAGCCAGACCAGGCAGCCTCCGGTTCAAAGCTTAGACGGCAGCAAGAAGAGGTAAAGCTGGATCCTTTTAAGCTAGATTCTGAGATCCTCGAGATCCAGAGAGGGAAGTGTCAGAATGACCGGACCAAAGAGAAGACAAGCACATCTCTCTCTTGCAGCCCTACACACGAACCTGTCCCATCTTGGCAGAGAGGTTCAGCAAGTCCTCGGAATCCTCAGAAGCAGGGCTTCCCCTTCGTGCTTCACCGGAGTCTCCCTGCTGGGAAGCGAAGAGTTACAAGCAACCACCAGGCGTCGGCCAACTGCTGGGGAGCTGCCCTAGACAGAAGCAAAAACCAATGCATCCCAGCACCGAAAAGCACAGCAACGGTAGCTTTTGCTTGCGATTGCGAACAGATCCGAAAGAACCAAAGGCACAGAACAGCTTCGTCAAAGCCACCCATTCTGGAAGCACAGGTGCTGCAGTGCAGCAGTCCAGCCGATTTCGTGGCGTCGAGTGCACCGAGCCCTCTTCTTCCGAGACATTGCCCTGGGACTGAGAGACTGCAACTTTTTTTAAACTTTGATCTGAAGTTTGAGTGAAAACTAAATAAATAAACATAGGGACATGTGTGTACATATATGTATATGTATATGCATATGTATATGTATGTATACATAAGCACTTGTAGATTTCACCACATGTCAAGGTCACAGGACGTCTTTCCATGGCTGAGGGTAATGAGGATGTGGTTACCGAGTGGATCTGCCCTGGCAAGCTTGCGTTCCAGCAGAATCGAACCCAGTGATGACAGCTATGAAACTTTTGGTCAACGTCATGTCGAGTCACAGCCTTATGAAACCTGGCTTGATCTTACCGTGCAGCCGGCTCGCTGTCGTTAGGGCCACCGTGGAGTTCTCCACATCTTCAGCATCCTCTGCACCAAGGATAGTAGTGATCAGCACAGAAGTAAGAGGCAGGCCACGATGTGAAGTCGCGGCAGTCGCGCGGCAGGCATTTGAAGTGACCGCCGGGTTCAGTTCCAGTTACAATGATTTTACATCACCACTGCCTCCTCTTTCTCTTGCTTCTCCATCTTCTGAGTAGCGTCGGCTACCGCCACGCAGGCCTCGACAGCGAGAAATGCGGGAAGGCCACTCAACGAGTGCCCAGTATATATACACACGCACATGGCAACAGCGGCTATTCCGGATCTGGGGCACGAAACTACGATACGACTATCAGACTTACAAGACTGCTAATAGTGATCAGCACAGAAGTGCGTAATAAAGAGGCAGGCCAGGATGTGAAGTCGCGGCAGTCGCGCGGCAGGCAATTGAAGTGACCGCTGGGTTCAGTTCTAGTTACAATGATATTACAGCCTTCATTGGCACATCGGTGTCACCACTGCCTCCTCTGTCTCTTCCTTCTCCATCTTCTGAGTAGCGTCGGGTGCAGCCGCGCAGGCCTCGACCGCGAGAAATGCAGGAAGGTCACTCAACAAGTGCCCAGTATATATATATATATATATATATATATATATACACACACACACATGGCAACAGCGGCTATTACGGATCTTGGGCACGACACTATCAGACTTACAAGAGTAGCCATTCTACGACATGGAGCGAAGGGATGGAACCAGGCGCGTGTGCACGGTCTGTGCAGGAACATACTAACACTGACCCATGTCCCAACCAAAAAACAGGTTTCAGGCCCTAAGGCTCTGCCTCATGCACCTGCACCCAAAACAAGATGTACGTGCCCCAATGACGCAAGTTTTTGGGCGCCTTGGAGGTCAACAGCGTTGGCCCGCCCAAGGTCTGCGACTCCTTGGCTGCACAGGAAATGAAGCTCCGACATGTTCTGGGAGAAGCTAGAGGATATCACCAACAAGCCCATGCGATAACGGCGGTAAAGACATAGTGCAGTTCACAACGCAGCTTCAGAACAGGCACGTTGCTCGTGCGAGATGCAGTCCTGGAGATGAGAGCCGGGGACTCTGTGCGCGGAACCTGAGCTTTCTGGAGCCTTTGCAAAACTGGTAACACTTTGTACTGACAAATATATGATTCGGCCAGCACTCGCCTCGGCCCTGGAGCCTTCCTCTGGCATGGCCTCACGCGCCAGAGGCAACACATGGCAACACCACGTCACTACGCAACACTACGCCTACTTAAAACCCTGTCAGCAAATGCTGGGTTTGCTTGCATTCGCTTACATGTTTTGTGTCAGCCGCCCACCTCGTTGTCAAGCCTGACTTGGTCGTCCATGGTGTCGGCAAGGCGCGGCTTTTGCAGTCCAGCAAGGCACCCTCGCAGTCCTCGAGCTGTGGGTTGGCCGTCTTGCGTGTGCATGCTTTTGCTGAGCTTCTTCATAACGAACCCTGCCCGCCTTGGAGCTGAGCTGCACATCCACTGGCACAGGTAGTCGCCATTGCTTTCCAACGGGATCGAACAGATTCGGATTGGACTCGGGCCTGACAGCTTTTGCTTTCCTCCGTATGAGCCAGAAGCCGCGGCAAAGAAACATGAATGCTGCAGCAGCTGCCAGTAAGATGTCCACGTCCTGAAAGGCTGGCAGTCTCTGCAGCCTCTGAGTCTGCTCAAGATTGCTCAAGAAATGACCACCACGTGGGGATTCCTTAAGATAATTTCTTTGCAACAAATCGCATGGCTCTACCAGCAGAGATGAGCAGAATCCCACTTTCACAGCTGCAGAAGAAAGTGTAGCTAGCGCGAAACGAAACAAGCGCACGTTGTAGAACACACGCAAACCTCAGACTCAAAGAGCCGTGCTCTGCCTGTTGTCATCAGAGTCACCTCAAGCGTTGGCATCGTGATCTTGGCGCAAATTATGCCGCAGGGAGCCGGGACCGCGATTGACACCCTGCTTTAAGCCTCTCCATGTACATCCACTTGACACGGAAGATGAGAGGCTTCGCTGGTTTCGCCCTGCACCTCGTTCATCTGGATCCAAGCCACGATGCCACGACAGGATTGACAAGCCACCTGCCATGCTCCACCCAGCTTTCATGGCCTTGGGATAGGACGTGTGAGATGGATTTGTATCCGAGAAAATGTCCAAAGGCCTGTTGGTGGATCACCAAATCAATCTCCCAGCGGGTTGGCGAAGTCGGGCTGACTCTGCGTATGTGCGATGCAGAAGCTGGCTGCCCGCACACATCGATTTACGACGGCCACCTAATGTACTCTCAGGTCTTAGGCGGCAGTGGCACAACCTCATTGCGTCCTTCAGCTCCTCCAGAAGTAACTGCAGTGTAAGTCCGGCGGGTGCTGGAGCCGTCTGCCTCTGTTGCTCGTAGCTGCGCCAATACAGAAAGCTGGGCTGGGCCCACACGCAGCACCGCCTGCTCAAGCCGAAGCATGGCATGTTACTGTGGCGTTGAGTTGAACGATCAGAACGTCACAAGGCAGTGCTCGTCTTCTAGGCAAAAGCTCGCATCTACCAAGTTCACCCTGTCGCTGTAAACGCGATTTGGAATGAACACAGCGATAAATCTCTGAGACCTGAAGGTGACCTGCACTGCAGCATATGTCGCCTTCGAAGTGTTCCCTGATGCATGAATGAGGCGATAGACAGGGAAATCCACTTCGCCCACCTCGGTTGCCACTTCAAAGCAGACTGCCGTCCCGCCGCATGCCGATCTGCCAGAGGTTCTGCTTTATTCATGCTGTTGCATGCAATAAGGAGGAGTTTACTGCCATTCTCCCAAGACCACATGCGTAATCAAGTACATCGTACAGCTCTGCTTTGGCTTTATTCGGCCCTGGTGCAACATTCCCGACACCTGGCAATCCTCCACGCTTCTCCAGTTTGATGTGGCACACGACACTGCGGGGATCCTTGGCTCCACCGTGCTGTAACCCTGCTATTGTTCTTTCACAAGCGTGTTAGCTTTGAAGCCATGTCACTTCCCCTTGTACCCTCTGTGTGCGTGGTTTGATGTTCAGTAACAGATCGGGTCCATCACAGATTTTGCTTGAAACGGGGGCGGGGACTGTGGGCGTGAATCTATGTGCTTACTCTTACACGAAGCTAGAAGGCGGGTGAAGCCGTCGTGATCATAAGGTTTCCCACTTTGGGACCCCATCAAGTAGTGTGCCAACTCAAACCGAAACAAATCCACCATGATAGGAATAAGAAGCCTGGACTCTGCAAGCAGCATGTGGGTGAAAGTCGACTGAAAGTGGGCAGTGAGGCAGTCCTCATCATCTTCCTGTGCAGAGCACTGACCGCCTACTTGCTCCACTTAGCCGTTCCAGCCAACGACGCTGACGCTGCAACATCTCCGCGTACCTCTGCTCCAGCCACTGTTGGCGACGGGGGACTGAGACCTTGTTGCTCCACGAAGCCCGACAATGAACGCAAAAAAGGATCTCAGCGAATACAGAAGCCTCTCCTGTCATTCCGATGTCGCGTGCATCATTATCCCTGCTGCCTAGGAGCTTGACTGCTCAGAGTTGTCCAGACGCCACCAAGCCGTGGCTCCATAGCCTGAATGTCGAAGCTGTCGCACTTGACATTATTCTTGACGTGATTACGAGTAGCTATACACGCGAAGTAGAAATTGCAACCCGAGAGGCGTCCCTGTTTGCGGGCAGTCCGGCTGCGGAAAGCTTGCTCGTGCTCCTGTTCGCTTCGCTAATCGGTACACAGACAGCACAGCGGCTATCCGAGGCAAGCAGAAGCGTGCGTTGTTCCTGTAGCTCGGATGATTAGTCTGGAAGAAGCGGTCAAAGTCTGGAAGCTGGTAAAAAAGGTTCCCGTTGCAAAAACCTGGTCTTGCTTGATTGTACAATCTCTGCCAGCTTTCACGCGGCAGAAAGTGCCCCACTTTCTTCAACCTTCACCCCACCATGGCACACCTTGGCAAGGATCCTCACGCCCCTCAGAGAAATGCGTGATGCCGGCCTCGCAAGTGACTTTGCAAACGAACGAGCCGCGCTTCTTGGCATCCTCCTCCTGCAGTGTCAAGGCAGCGAGTCGTGTCTTCGTGACTTGCTCTACCAGACTCTACAAGAAGTAGATAGAGCCTTTGCCACTGACACCACCCGAGAGCAAGACGCGAAACCACACTTGCTAAGATCTTGATGCAAGCGTCAACGGGCTCGTCTGGAAATGTGCAGCAATCGATTCCGACCTTGGACATGCCGGTCTGTAGAGGCAGGGCTTACCCTTGCGGAACAGCTGCAAAACACAGTCTCAACTTCTGCAAGGTAATCGGTGCCTTCTGCATGTCATGCCAAGATGCCAGAACAACGAACGCAGCAGCCTGAGGTAGCCTTGGTCGCTGTGCTTGGAGGGCGAAAGGGCTTGGTGACGGGTGAAATGACCTGACGCGACATTTCAACAACCAACCCCAGGAGAACAAACCAGCAACAAAAAAGAGACCGACGTGCCACGATCTGTACTACTTAAATATTCGAATGGACGCAGTGGATGCACCATGTACAACTTGATTGCGCGCCATCCGTCATCGGATCACTCTGCAACTGCTATCCAGTCACGTGCCATCCAGTGCTCTCAATTGCTGGCGCAGATTGAAATCCTAAGCTGTGCCGACAGATTATGGATGGGATGTAACGATCCTCGCAGCGTGTTGCCTGCAACAACAAGAGACTGAGAATGAATATTTTAGCAGCAGCAGCCCCGCAAAGACTCAACGTGCACGGCGAGCGAATCTAGCAACTGCGCTGAAGGCTCAACCGTAGGAAACCACTTTTTCAGAACAGTCTCGTCCAATTTCAGCTCCTTAGCGCAACTTGGACGAACATGTTGTCACCTTTTGCAAAAAACGTTGTCGGATGTTGTCGTACGCTTCAGCTTGCAGTGCAGGGCTCGGCATATCCCGCAGAGAGCCGAAGCGTTCCTGACAATCCGGGCGCTTCACCCCGTCTGTAGGCATAGATTGCACAGATCTGCAAGCGGATTTGCCAAAAGAGCCTTGTGCGCCCGGGCCAGTCAGCTCCAACTCGCGACCGTCTGCCTTCAAGATACCAAACGCTTTTCCTTGTGCTCTCAAGTATTTAGATTTAGGCAGTCGTACCAGTTGCATTGTCTGTAAGATTGGCATAAACCGAGGGCGACATGTGCCTAAACGGCACATCTTCTCGGAAACATGTAGGATGCCCCCATATCCAACCCGGCACGGCGTCCAAGAGTGATTGCACGACCATAGCCTCTAGCCGTTGGGTATAGGCATGCTCTAAAGTCGCGCATCTAGAGCTACTGCAAGATATCGCTTCGCGTTCCGGTTCAGGCTGTGGGCACAACCCTGCTAATTTAATTTGCTTTTGGAGCGAAAAGCCACTGTGGATATCAAAGGTGCCGCGGACATCGTGGAACCAAAACCACAGGCAAACGTATGCTGTATCCCGCGGGAAGTGATATGACAGGTTTGTTGTATCCTGGTTGTCCCACTCCGGAGAGCTCAGGGCATGGCTCAGTAAACATCCCGGAGCAGTGTACCCCAAAGATGTATACAAGTGTATGCTGTATAACCACGCATAGGATTCCGTGTCGATTTGACCTATCTGGCAGACTGGCTGGAGAGGGATCTAGTCAAGATCGCTCCCTTTCATGACTTCAAGCAACTAGCAACACGCTCATACCTTCCAGCAGGTTGCCATGCTTTTGCGGTCTTGGCTGTGAAACACGTCCTGGGCGCTACCGACCCTTGCAGCACGGGTTCTTCTCGGCCCGCATGTCTTCTCTGGCGGTTAGAAGATCTGCCCACTGTCCACGCAAAAGGTCAATCTCATGCTGCAGGTTGGCCGGCATGTCCTTGGTCTGCACGTGCACCATCACCTACACTGACCTATGCATACAGTTTCTGCTTCTTGTTCTTCGGCGAGCCATGCGATCGTTTATGCATGTCTTATCATATACTATACTATAAATCTTAAGACAGCGTTCTGGAGGAGCAAGCATCGGAAAGCAGCAACTTTAGCTCCTTCCACGCTGCTTCGGCCAACCCCGCTTGGCTGGAGTGCGGGTCAGGACCGGCATGCTCTGCACAAGTGCCTTCTACCAATACCTTTTGCCACATGTTGAGGTCAATGGCCAGCACATTGGCAGCAGTGAATACAGCGCCTTTCAAGGTCTCGCATGCTCCCTCCGGGCAGACGGGCAAGCACGAGTCCAGGCAACGGGTCCCCAAAGCTTTGTCAAGCTTTTCCACGACTTCAGCTAAGGCTTGATGAGCCTCCCAGCAAGCTTTGCGCTTTGCTGCGCATGGCTCTTCTGTAGAGGCATCAAAGACCTTGCAGGCAACCTCCAGGGGCATTGCCGAGGAGTCGATGAAGCGCAGCGCCTTAGCTGCTCATGCGGACTGGCAGCGTGGCATGCCGCGCCATTGCAGCCCAGGCGCACGCTTCAGAATCTCTGCCACCACACCATCTTCCGGCAAAGGCTCGGAAAGCAAAGCCCTTGAAAAGGACTGCAGCACGCCGACCATTGTCCAGCAGTCCGTCACGGTTTCGTCATAATCAGCTTTCCAAACGAGCTGAAGGCAAGAATCCTTCAGGGCCTGAAAAGGGCAAGCTCGAAACCCGAAGCCACCAAACGAACGTCGTATCTAATCTTGCCTTTGTCGGGCTCTGACTCGCATGAGGCCTTCTCAAATTGTGGGTTCAATTTTCTGGAGCTATGTCGCTCATGCCGAGAAGTTTTCCTTGCTTCCTTCCCTGTGTATATCTCTCTCCATCGACGGAAATGGTGCGAGGGGGGGCTCCTTTGGACTGGATCATACATCAAAAGGGGAACATGCAGAGCTTTGTCAACGTTGCAGACCCAGGTGAACCTCAGCAATCGCTTCGGTTGGGTGCCATTTGCAACCACCACTGTCAGGAACCCGAGCCTCCTTGGAGCGCAGCACCATGAAGCCCCGGCATCGCCCAGTCTCTGCATCGGTTCTCTGCATTGCTTCCCAAAGCAGCGACATTGGCACCCAGTGTGGAGGATACCTGGGCGCATTTTTGCCTGTCGCCCAACGCCGAACGGTTTAGAACAGGTTTTGCTATGACAAGGTCTAAATGCTAGCAAGGTTTGTCTTTCAAGCTGGCGCCCCAAAAAGATGCCCTAGAGCTGGCTGCGTCGCTTAAACCTGGCCACGTCGAGGATCAAGACCTGATCACTGGCACGGTGGTAACCTCCGATTGGAGAGTAATGGCCATCACCTGTCTGTCCCAGCTGCTTCCGACTGTAGGAAACAACCACCACCTCAAATAAGCAAGCAACAACATAATTGAGTGGCTTAGGTTCGCTGGTTGCAGCTGCGACACACCGGAGCAGCCGCATCCCGGATCCGTTTCGCAGCTGGCAGTCACTGCTTTCCTGCTTCATTCAAAGCCATAGAATGTCTTAAGCCGGGCGGTGAATGCCACGAACGCACAGCATTGATGTGTTGAGAAGCGCATGCTCGGCGCAGCCCACTGGGTGTCTGAGCCACGAGCCTGAAGTCCTCCTCGGTCACGTCTGCCTCGTCCACCCGGTGTGCATCCACTTGGGCTCCGTTGCACCGAGCGAGGCACACCACCTGCGTGGGGAGATCGAAAGAATCGGTGGTGCCTTCCCCCAATTATTTTCCCCAACAGCCTTGCCAAAGGTGAGGCCCTTCTCTTTCACGACCTCCAGCGGTTCACAGCAGTCCAGCAGGTCTTCACCTGAATGTGCGCGATCTGTAACAACTTGGCTTAACCGTAGCACTGGAGCACGAAAAGGGTCGGCTTTCCGCCGTGACTTGAAAGCCAGGTGACTGAACCACCTCCACGGACCCTTCCATTTCCGGCCAGGATCCACACCAAGGGCGTTCAGGACCATAGCCAACGTGCCTCAAAAGAAATTGAGTTTCTTCCCTCGATGGACCATATGTGCGTGCACCTGGCTGCGTCGCCATGGAACCCCAAAGTCCGAAAACACAACGAACGGCAGCCCACTGGCCCACTCCACTCTCTCCATCCCGAACTGTAGAGTCCCGGGCCGAGGCCACAGTATGCGGGCTCCGCTTGGGTGTGGAACTGCTCGATGAGTCGGAAGAAGCAGCCCATACCTCCTCACAGCTCAAAGAGGCACTCAAGACAGTGGTTCAGCAACAGGTCGTCTTGCTGACACTCGCATTGCACCCTCCCTTGCGGTATCCAACATGAGAAGCTACAGCTAGTGACAGCTAGTGCGGGTCCTGCTGCCAGGGCTTCAGCGAAGAGCACCTGGGCAGTAGTCAGCAGCAGTGCCGGGCACCGTCCCAGCAACAAGTGCAACTTCCTGCACCTGGCCCTGCGACGAGGAGAAGGCGATCGCTGGCTCTGGGAGTGGGCGCCGATGGAAGGTCCTAGAAGATTTAAGACTTGGGCGGGATGTTCGGTGCTCTTCCACTGCGTGACGACACCTAGTGCTGGTCGGTTGGCAGCATGCTGTATAAGATGCGCGATCCGACGGCCCTTCACAGCTGGTCATCTCAAGTTAAGTTTGGGGCCAGCAAGTTTCGCACGACCGCTGCTGGGGTGTGGAAGCCGAGCATGTGTCACTTACTTGTCAATCTACGACACTTGCTGCGAGCAGTCCTCGCAGAAGGGCTAGTTGGAGCAGCCGCCATGACATTCAACAGTGGCCCTGTGCAGTGACAGAATGAAGCCCGGCAGGCCCAATCCCCGAAGGCCAAAGGGCTACATACTGCTCTTGACGATCCTATAACAGTGGCTCCACTTCTGCTCATGCTGACTGGGCTCAGCTCTTTCAGCATATCTTTCCGCTAACTGCCGCTTTGAAAAGGCGCTTTACCTTAGAAGGCGCCGCGTTCCTGAATCCAGGATGGACCAGTGCAACAGCAGTGCTGCCGAAACCAAGGAGGCTAAAGGCCTGTCCTTGGCTAGCCTTCGAGCCGCCATGCTGCAGGACATCTTTCAGTTGTGATGAAATGGGAACATCGAGATGCATATGGCTTGGCATGGAACAAACACAGGCCTTCACGACATCAGAGGCAGCAGAGCAAACCGAACCTGAGCGGCTTGAGTGGAACGAAATCCAGGTCGGGGGTGAGACCACGGGCCCTTATTGGGCCAAGACCACATGCAGCCAAGTTGCCAAGAAAGGTATCCTGCATAGACACACACCTACAGTACAACCTCCTTTCTGTCCTGGAGTAGAGGACAACGTCGTCATGCTAACGCAAACCGAGCCTTACACGAAGGGTTTTCAGCTACGGCTACGACGCTTCCATTGAAGCAATTCAGGCAGGGACAAGCTTTACTTTGTGACCTGGGGCCGACTCGTGATCCAAGCCGGATGGCGGCGACCGCAGGCTGGCTGTTGGTTTCACATTAGTAAGATTCCACTTTCCGGACTTGGCTCCTCGACGTAGGGGTTCTCATCATAAAGGTCCACAGTCAAGAACTGCTCCGTGAGGGAATAGACCAAGAACTTATGAGTTCCTTCCTCAGCGGGCCAGTTTGAAAGATCTTCCACCAGATCCCTTGAAACGCAAGGCCTCTCTGCATCCAAGCTTCTGCTTCACTCCACTGAGGATTGAGATTCTGAGGTCGCGTGGGTGTACCTGCACTGCAGAAGCACGTCGATGCGACCCCTGAATCTGCACTCTGCACAACAATCTGCGGGCCGAGACGCGGAATGGCTTGCCTCCAACTGCTACTAAGCAGTACGGGTCGGAGCCTCAATTACAAATCGAATGTTCAGTCCAGCCTTCGTGCAATCCCGATGACACTTTGCGTTGCATATCGAGGTGCTCGGTCTCGACAGACCGAAGGGAAGCGCCACATCCTGGCTCGGGAACCGACAGCATGGAGTCCATGGAGAGTCGTAGCTGCATCTAACTCTGGCGAAGATCACCTAGGGTCTACTTGCTGCTGCTCATCCTCTTGCCACTAATTACCATGCCACTCTTACTGTTACCATTATTATTCTGATTGTTTTGTTATTAATTTAATACTAGTTTACATTTACTATTAGTGTTATGACTACTATTATTGTATTATGTTCGTCGACACGATGGCGATCACGACTGCCATCACCACTACCACCACTACCACTGCTTGCAACCACTGCCTCTATCACTACCACTAAGGCGACGAGTACTACCGCTGGTACTACTGCTCTTTCACAATCAGTAAACTGGTGCAGGTGCTAGTTCGAGTAATTTGGAGTGATACATTTGTAGCAAACAATTTATTAGTTGTTCTTGTTCCAGCATCTGGGGAAGACGGATTTAAGTTTATTGACACCTGACAGGTACGTCCTAAAGGCGTGGAGGGGGTGGAGGGTTGTTGAGGAATAAGCTGGGCTGATCGGATCAGCCATGTTTAATGTTCCTGGTTGCACCTCCCTCCCCCCGCTTATCCACCTATTCCCAGGGGGTACCCTTCACCTGACTTTGCAAAACACGTGTCTAAATGAGCAACATTTCCGTGATGGCAAGGAGGGTGGTGGTGTTGGTTCTTCGGGAACGGCGCCTTGGCCGCCAGCCCACGAGCTCCATGAATGCAAACTGTCATGACGCCCTCTGGGACCACACCACCTTGTTCGGCTGCGAGCTCCGATTCTCGGGCACACCAGAACGGGTTTCAGAAGTGCTGGGAAATGGCTGTCGATGTCACCATGTCAACCCTTTTCATCGGCTTGGGAATGCTACGCGTGGTCGGAAGATGTCCTGCCAAGCGCAGGCCAGGAGACATGTGTTTGCGAGCTGCCCTTCGCCAGAGGACGGGAAAGCCCGAAATTGAGTTGCATTTAACTAGAGAGGATCAGCTGGTGCTCCAAATGTAGAAGAGGGCGCCTGAACTTTAGGAACTGCTGCTGGTTGCCGAGACATCAAGCGGCGCATGGCTAAACACCGACGGCCAAGCAGCCAGCTTCAAACCAGGCATCCTCGTTTGTAATGTCAAGCAAGACCTTGCCGTCTGCTCGTCTTCAAGAGGGGACGAGCTGGGCCGACACCCGAAGGCTTACCAGCGACTTAACCAGCCTCTGACCTGCCAACTGAAAGCTCGTGACATCACTGTTGACTCAGTTGACTCAGGCAGGCTGCGGTGGCCACGGTTGGCAACACAATCTGCTCGGCCAGCTGCTTCCTCGTGGGGCAATGTTCGGAGAAAAATGCGCGTCACTTGTTGGATGATCGACTAGATGTGCCATAAGGCAGTAAATTCCGGAGATCAAACTAGCACACCTTCCACATATCGAGAGGAACGTGGACTGCACAGCTCGGCTAGGGTGCTGAATGATGTCGGCCAGCAGCTTCTCCAGCCAGGAGAGCGACACCTGAAAAGGACCCAGCATGAACCACCTTACGTGGAGAGGCTCTCACACCGTTGCATCTGCCCCACGGAAAGGGCGCAGCGGCGAGACCGACGACGATACAGAGATCCCAGCTTTGGCGTGGCTTGGCAGAACGACTTTGTGCAGTCAAGCCGCACGCAAGCCCATCACAGTACCCTCCAGCGTCAATGCCACCTAATACAATCAGGGCCAATTACGACGGCTGCGACGAGCGAGCGACTGCTCAAAATGCGTCCCTTCTCGAACGGTGTCGGCGCATGCCTCCGTTTGTCTCAACGGGTGTGTCCTCTGATAGAATTTTTTTTGCTCAGGGTGCCGAACACCGAGCAATGGCTTGCATCGGGCCACTTTGGGAAGGTCCGCAAAGTAAAACGTGATGCCGGTGAAGAAAGGCGGCCTGCACTGGGACTTCTGACTCTACAGAAACAGCTGATGCAGCAAATGATGCATGTGCAACTTAAAGCAGTATAACAACATAGGTTTTCTGGATAGCTGTGACGTGCCTGGGCAGGATGTGCTGCAAACAAACGTCCAAGCGGCCATTCACAAGCACATGCTCTGCAGAGAGCACCTAGTGAGGGCAGCAACTTGTTCGATTGCATGCGAAGGCACGATTTGCTATTGCTGCATGCACGTCATCAGACGTACCACTTTCATCATGGTTGATGCAACCGATGCATAGCCAAACACTCAGACCGTAAAGACCACCTCAAGACCAAGAGGCAGCTGTCGGTGCTGTCAGTGCCACATCCACATCGGCATCCCAGGCGACCAGGCTCGAAACCTGGAAAACTGCATGCTCTTCTGGAGCTGATAGGAAGGCTTTCGGCTGAGACTGGCATCTTCTTCTCTGATGTTCCTGCAAGGTTTTCCATAAGGCTGAGGAATTACGACCAGACAAGTGCATCGTCTTTCGGCTTTCGACTGAGGAGCTTTGAAGCTGCGCACTTCGCCGTCTTTGTGCGAAGTCTGCGTCGTGCGCTCGACATTCAGCCTTGGCCGGTGTATGAATGTTTACAGTGGAGACGTGTAGCAGTGCTTGCAACAGGTCCACGAGCTAACCAGTTCTTGATTGGCTCTATACTGTGCAAACGAGAAGCTCTTCGACCTTCAACGCCGAGTTTCCGAAGCTGATGCGGCCAAAGCCCAAGCCTGACAAGAGGGAGGACGGGAGAGGGGAACCACGGATCAACATTTTTCGAGTGAAGTCAGGGTGCCAAGTCGGAGGTCGATTCCATTATCGGTTACAGGCCAAGTCGCTGCTGAGGAACCACGGTACTCGCGTCTGGATGGCCTCCTGTCATCTTATTTCCGCTGAAAGGATCGGATGGCGGGCGTGGAATGAACCGTTCTCAGGCCAACATCTCGGCGGAGCAGCATCCTCGACCAGTTTGGCCTAGGCTTCTGTGGCCTCGACTGTCTCTTTGAGCACCGTTCGGATGAAGCTCGTGATCTCAGGCCACATTTCCTGCCATGCATTCGTTGCATTGATTCCTTGCTTCTGCTGGTCTACTGGACCGTCAGAAGCTGGGGTCCTGCACCGCAGTGTTGAGCAACGAAACCTCTGCAAAGTCGGCAGTCGAGTTTCCTTCGTGGCGCAATTTTCCATGCCATGCAATGCCTCTACGAGGCTGCGATCTCGTTGTATCGACTCGTCGTTCCGACGACCATGATAGCTGCTTCTTTCTTGGGTGTCAAGAGAGGTGGTCAACTCTTATGGGTGGAGTTTGGCGTCACGTCGCTGATATCTCACCCGTCAACCTCTTGCACGAACCACAATCGCACTGCACTTCTTCAGGAGGAGCCACCGGAAGGAGTTTCCTGGGCTTCTCCACCAGGTGCTGCCTGCACCTGCAGAGACAGCTACATGCTGAATACTGGGTCGAACTCGCATGATTCCGGAGATGGAATCGTTTACTCCTCTGGCTGCAAATCGAGAGGCTGCAGCATCTTCACGTGGTCTACTTCGAGGATGGGTGGCTGCGAAGACAAAAACCTGAGACTGAACCGTCGCCCTCGACCTCTGGGTGCTAACATTTTGGGAAAAGGAAACCTGTGCGGCGGATGCTTAGCCGGGAAGCAGAGATGGCAGCAGCCAGCAGAAGCCGAGGCATGTTGGAGGCAAACACCTCAATGATCTCCTACGAGAACCCCACGCTTCTGAAGAAATTTTATTTGTCTGCAGTCTACCCACAGAAAACTAGGCACCAACAACTCATTGTTACTACAGTACAAGTACCAGACCTGCAAGGTCCAAGCAAGGCTCCCGATCTGTTAATTGAATCTTCCTTGTCGAAGAGCTCGGGCACAAGAGCACTTAGCTTCCATGTACATGGTACCTACGGACCTACGACATGATTTCACTTCAACATTCGTTGGCTTCAAACCATTGCATGTTGTTTCATCCTTGGACCTCTACGCCTCTGGTTCTTTGTGCCAAGCTTTGGTGCCGTCGCGTTCCAACCCTTACTCTGTCAAGGTGTGAGTGCCAGCTAGGACTTGACTGTGCCATCGCATCGAACCACCAAGCATTAAGGCATGCACGAAACTTGTCGCGCTGAGTACCAGTGGCCTGAGCTCTCGGATCTCGTCAAGATTCTGACATCTGTCGCTTCAAGACTACACAAGCTTAACTCGAACACGTCCGTATTCAACTCGGCACAACGGTCCAATCTGTGCGGCTTCGCTGCCCGGTCAGGTCCCTGATGATCATCAGGAATCCTGCATTCAGACTCCCAGAGGAGGATTCTAATGTTAGGCTCCAACGTCAGAGCAGTTGCAGCGTAGCTCGTGAAGCATGCTGCTATACACTGGCCATAGCATTGCATTACAAACGACCTTCGCGCTGACCAGGTTTCTGTAACAGGTTGCACGCAAAAAAATGTAAGGAATGGAAAGTTACCTCAAGATGCCCTCTCCGTAATTCATATGTACACGTATACTATATGTGTGTATGTGCATATATAAACTACTCATATGGGCGTTGTCCAATATTCCTTTGTCCTAGTTTTAGCCCTTGGTCCGCGCTTGCGCGGACCTTGCGCGCGCTTGCGCGCACACACGAATGTGTAAACATGCATTCGCGTGACACGAAACTACAGAACAACTGCTTTCAACGGATGGTTATAGTTGAGAATGCTTTGACTCAACGCTGCATGGTGGCAGTAGCAGTAGTTGTAGTCGTAGTTAGTCGTAGTAGTAATAGTAGTAGTAGTAGTAGTAGTAGTAGTAGTAGCAGCAGCAGCAGCAGTCGTAGTAGTAGTAGTAGTAGTAGCAGCAGTAGTAGTAGTAGTAGTAGTAGCAGTAGTAGAAGTAGTGGTGGAAGCAGTAACAGTAGCAGTAGTAGTAGTAGTCGTCGTCGTCGTCGTAGTAAGCTCGCCACGGGCCCTCTCACCTCGTGCTCGGCTTCCGAACGACGGTGGAAGTAGGAGTGGCAATAGTATAGTAGTGGTAGTAGTAGTAGCAGTAGCAGTAGCAGTAGCAGTAGCAGCAGCGGCAACAGAAACAGCAGAAGAAGAAGAAGGGGCAGCAGTAGTGGCAGTGACAGCAGTAAGAGCGGCAGCAGCAGGAGATGGTTGTAAGGCTGACCGTCATCCAGCCATTTCTGGAAGAGCCGTGTCAAGACCAGAGTGGGCCAAGACCTTCAAATCGCTTTGCGTGCTTGCGCGCACCTTGCGCGCACCTTGCGCGCGCCTTGCGCCAAGTTACGCCGGTGTTTTGAAGTTTTTGGAGTGGTACTACGTACTTGCCATGAAAATGTTGCGTGACAGTCTTTCGTAAATCTCCGCCTGATAACCGCTTGACACCTCGAGCATAAATCACACTGGCGTTTACTTGGATGAGCTCATACAATACCGTGGTGAAGGATCTGCACTGGATAATGCTTTCGGATCTTGGATGGAATGAGCAAGAATTCACCCATCCATGCTATGCAAAACCTCTCTCGCGAGATCTTACCGACTGTACATACATACATACACAAAGACATATATACATAAATAGACATCCTTGTCTTTATTCCTTGCGCGTCCCTTGGTCCGCGCTTGCGCGTACCTTGCGCGCGCGGCCTTTTCGCCTCCTTTATCATGTTAAGATTCAGCGCTTAATAAACACAAGCCAAGGGTTTTCGGACGCAGCTCATATGAATCTATATGGTCTCGCCCACCCCCTGCGGCCTACCTTAGCGTTTCTTGGATACCATTTACTCATCAGGAACCACCGCAAATTTCTGTGAATTGTGCTGCTGTGCTCGCCAGCCGAAATCACTATATTCCCTCGGTGTTTCTGTACTTTCGCAAGGGACCACCGAAACTCTAAAAGGGTTGAGGATTGTGCATGTGAAGACCAGCGGCAAATCCTGGGCCAACAAGCAAAACAAAATGGAAAGCCAACAATACGACTTACTAGTAACGTCGCAAGACCCGCAATGACCGAAAGCCTATGGCCTATAAGTTGTCATGAACTGGTATACACGTACATAAGACATTGGGACATGTTGGTCTGTTCACCAGTCTATTTTGCTCTAATGCCCTGCACAACATGAATCCCCTTGCTGTTCGAAGCTTCACCTCGTGGCCGCAGCTGGCTCGGCGGCGCCTTTGGACCCGGGGTGGCGGAGCGGAAGAAGGCAACCTGGACCCGAACAGTCGGAGTGAACCACATGCCAAACCATGTCCAACCAGTCTTTGGGCGCAGTACGATCCGAACCGAGCCACAGAAGCGGCCAATGCAGCGGCAGCAGCCTTCCAGGCATTCACACAGGAACAAAACTCCAGAATCTTCCAAATGACATGGCAATCACCCACCGACATGATCCATAACACCAGCGCATATCGTCTCTCTATACCCTACACGATCCAAAGTCAATTCAAGACTTGTCTATTCAGATTCAAGCTCCTCCCGCGGCCCTGGTCCCAGGCTTTTTCCGACTTTCTCCTGACACTGCAGCAGGCAAGGCTAATGGATGCAGAGAACCACGGGTTCAGGTTGACCTTCTGGGTGTTTGGCTAGGCGAACTTGTTACAGTTCGACTTCAGTGATGGTCAAGCGGAACTCGACAGCTGCACGGTGAGATTGAATTCACGTGCTTTCAAGAGTTGTGGAATTGCGCCTTGCCCCAGTAATTAATCGGGAACTTGCGGCTTGTCCTTCCTGGTCTCTCCTCGCATTACCATAGCAATCCATAGCACACCATCCCCGAAAGCAGCAGCAGGAGCAGCATCACGACCAAGCGCCTCTCCGTGCATGAAAGAACACAGAACAGCGAGTTGGACGGCTGATGTCTGGAGAAAACATGCGGTGAAATCTCTGAATCAGAAGGGTCCATGACATGCTTCGGACTTCAAGAGCAGCACATCTGGCTAAATGCTAGTGACTGCCAGCCGTAGTGTAGCTTGAGACACACGCGCTCCACCCTCAACAAAAGTGTCGTGTCCGAAGAGCTGTGGCACACGATGCGGCCGCAGTCTCCCATGGATTTACATGAGTAGTGTTTCGCCGCATGGCTGTTCGAGATCTTTTGGGGAGGTGCAGACAAGTGAAGCTCCACTCCTCGTCAGTCCGTGCATGTCTCGCTAACAGCTGGCGACGTGGCAGCGGTATCGGAAGGGGCCTTGCCAAGAAGTGACTGCGTGGGTCCATAGGCGTGCAGAGGGAATCGGCAACGTGCAGGTCGAGAGACGGATCTGCAACTTGTCAGGAATCGGAGTGCAACTGATACTCTGCTGATGGCCAAAACATTTCGCACATGCTCCGCTCACTGGTCTTGACTAGGTTTCAACACCTCACATGTTCCTGGTTTGGAGGGGGCCTGGAAGGCACATGGCTGCCACCGACGGCTGGCCGCTCCATTGGGGCATGAAAGGGCTCGCCATCAAAGAAGCTGTTGGCTCCCAGTACAACAGCCCAAAATCCGAGTAAACCCCTGCGAGACCTATCCTTTGCAGCGGGCGTTATTCCCTGTACAACTTCTCAACAGCGAGGCAGAATTTCGTGTTCATACTTGTGAGCCCGTCCGTAGCTGATAGAGCTCTGACGTGGGCCGACTAAGATGACTTCCGTCAGAAACAAGAATTCAGGCTGAACTTAAATACTGTAAGGAATAACTGATAAGCGTTGCACAATCAGCTCTCGCCCATGCGGGTGCATCAGGAAGGCACCATGAAGTCGTCTGTCGAAGAGGTTGCGCCACCTGCGATGACTCCAGCTGGCTGAAATGGGCGAAGGCCTCCCTCCGGCTATGGTAGGATGATAATAAGGGGATTGTTGGCTCGTAGGATGTGAAGGCGCCGTTTGGCCTTCAGCCAATAGCGACAACAGCTCAACTTAAATGAGGAACAAGGTCAGCACTACGTGGACTCCAGGGTTCACCCTTGCCTCCAAGCTCAGGGGATTTCGGGGACATGGAAGCCTCGGACGGAAGACTGGCATCTGCAACGTACCAAGTGGTCCAAGCAAGGCTACTGACTGCAGCTTCTGCAAGCAGGAGGTCGAAGCAGAATTAGCCTAACGTCTGGCATTGACTGTTCAGCAATGCCACAGCAGAGGCAACAGGTGATTTCTGCCACACGCTGCTGGAGCCGGGTCCGCCAGCCACTTGCTTTGGCTACGACAACCAACCTAAAATGACAGGGAGTCCAGTTTCTTATCGGTAGCTCCCCACCAGACGCGATGCCATCTTGATGAGTGGTCTGCATGAGTTTGTCTGAGGAGGAGTGAGACGATGGGATGCAGCCGCCGATCTTTCAGAAATTCGACCCGCAACTACGGCCATATATCAATGGCACTTCATGGCTACAGACTCCGGCTTCAGTCTTTGGACAGCTGATCTCAATGACACTATAACTATTGTGAGTCTGTCCGTCGCAACCCGCCGGAAGTCCGGATGTCAGGACTGAAATCGGACCACAAACAACTCTTAACGACTCAGCTGGAGCTGAGCACGAAGCTGCCACGCTTTGTGGACAACTTCCGATATTGGCGTACCTGGTAGTTGTGTATGGAGTTCCATGCCAATCTGCCAGTCAGAAGAATCGGTATTTACACTTCGCTTACAAATTACAAAAATCACCCGTGGTCCTAGACCGCACGCATGCGGATACTCTGGAAATCTGTGGCCGAGCAGCCATCTCCAAGATCTCCTCGCCCACGTGGTGATCGAAATTGCCATTCCCGATGGGCACCTGAGAATGGTGGACTAGCTGCTTTCATCTGGTACGAAAAATTCCTGGACCGGTAAGCCGAAACTGAAAAGCATGTTGAAGGAAGTCCTTCTATGCAGGCACGGAACCAAGTAGGGCGAAGCCTGGTTGAGCAGCAGCAGCTGCACGACCTCCTGCGGCTCAGCGTGTTGTCGACAAGACTGCTCCGGAGGAATTCAACAGCGGAACTGTCAGTGATTGCAGGTCATCGTTTCGAACACCCTCACGACCAATACCAAGTAAATAAGTTGTCCTAGGTCTGCCTGGCCTTCGGGAGTCTTGCTTGACCGCCGTCTGCATGCTTTTTGGAGCACTAGGCCACTTGGTCCGATTGCGGACGTAAGGCATCGGGGCAGCCACTAATTCGGGAGGCATCATAGCCGAAGGTGCCGAGTGCCAACTGGTCGGACGACTGTGTAATGAAACCTCATACTGATACACTGATACACCCCATCACAGTTCAGACAGGAGACAGAGCCCTTGCACTGCTTCAGCGGCATCCAGGCTCATCTTTGTCAGCTCGAAAACTCTCGACTGCCGACAAGCTGTCACAACAGCGCCAAACCCTTGATTACCAACGCCATTGTTTTAAGGGGTGGCTTGATCTTGCAACCTTCGATGTCGCCGTGGGGAGTCCTGAGTCCTTTTTGAGCCTTAAGACGGCCTTAAGACATGACAAGACAAAACAAGGCATTGTCGGCTCCTTGTGAGCCGAGCGGCAAGCCACGCTCAGGGCGGAGGAGCCCTGGCTGCAAATTTCTGGCACCAGGGTCATCGGCCCTAAACGCTTCGTGAAAGACATGGCATGGTGGCAAGAGGGTGCGACTCGACTGGGCACGGTGGATCAAGGCCAGTGGCCAGGCTGCGCCTCGGCCCCAATATGATCAGGATTTGCACCGGCACGCAGAAGCAGGCCTGGCAAAGCTCTCATGAAGCTTTGCCCCAACAGGCACAGGCGATGAGTGATGCGAAGGTTGTTCCGCAAAGACTCTTGAATCAAGACTGAATCTTTTAAATCAAAGGTACACCAAGAGACGAATAAAGCCCGAAAGTGTACAAGACATATCCCACAACTCCAAATTCCTGTGGTCTTTGCAAACCGGGCAGCGGCCGATTACGACGCATCCGAGGTGGGCTGCCCAAATTAAGGGCGTCCACCTGCAGGTCTCGAACTAATAAATGGATCACACCGAAGCTTTTCGCGGATGCCGGCTGCAGGCGATCGTCTATGATGACGACCATGATACAACCTGTGTACCGTCCACCCCCAACAAAAGCCGTGCAGGGTTTCGTCACTGCCAAGTTGGCCGTTGCCTGTTGGCATCCAGCTCGTCGGGGTCTGCCTTCCACTTGAGCACCTCAGGTCGAGATGCTTCAACGGCATTTCCGAGTACAACAGAGCCGCCAGGAGAGATGCCCGGGACCCTGGTATGGACAGCAACAGAAGCGTTACCGGCTGCCATCTCGAACTTCCACACATCAAATCGTTCCACTGCTAAACCCAGTGACCGCGCGCAGTGCTCGGGCCCCGCGATCGTTCCAGCCAAAGCGCTCCAGCGTCCACCTTGCCATGCACGAACGAGTGTTGTCAGTCTGTGAGAGCTGGAGGATCTGGCAAACATTATTTCCTTTGGCACTCCGGCGTCGTCACGGGCACTCTAAGACCTTTGACAGTGATGCATGTTCGGCTCGGGCAGGGTACTGTTGGAACTAGACCGAGTTGGACAATATGCGCGCACGCAGACACACAGACAGACCGACCGACCGACACACACACACACACACACAGAGAGACAAGCATGCGTGCGTGCACCTACACACACACAAGCTGCACGGGCACATCTGCATTACGTGAGCACATGTGTGCCGTGCATGGATATAGGTAGGCAGGTAAATAAGCGATGTAGTGTAGCACAACTGTAACTGTGCAACTAGTGCCCGCCCATTGCACAACACGCCCTCGCATGATTTCTGTTTTTACGGTTTAGCGAAGGGTTGGCGGTGTCGTTGTGGGCTTACACTGAAAATGCATGCGAGGGAGGCGAGTTGGGTTCGGTGTGCCAGGAGCTGTAAAGCTCATCGTTAGTAGCAACCTTTCAGTATCAGCTTCGCTGTGTATTCCGTCAAAAAAAAGGAAACTCGCCAAGCGGCAGGATGGGGCCAGGAGCCTTCCTCCCTGCTTTTGGCTGTAGAGCTCGGTGGGGCGCTTCGGCTGCATTGGAAAAGCCGGCCCATCGCTCGCGAACGGACCACAAAAACCTCAAGCTGCCAGTTTCGCACTGGAGCAAAGTAGCCATGCAAGATTCTCGCCCCGACCCACCTCCGTGACTGTGTTATTTCAAAGCATACGCAGCATGCCAATACAGCATGAGTCATATGACCGAGTGATAAAGAAACCACAGACACGGAACTGCACACCTTAGACATACCGTGCTGAGCCATTGCCAAGCCACAGAACTTCCAGAGGCGAGTGCAGAGCTTCACTCGGAGGGACCGGCGGCGCAACCGGTGGAAACCTTTCGGTCGGCCAGAGGTGGTTGGTGCGAATCCCGGCGAAAACCTCCTCTTGGAAAATCCTTGACTGAAGAGGGGCAAAACCAGATAATCTAAAATGACCCCATTGCCAGTAATGTAATCCAACGCCTTCAAAGACCCAGCTTAACCGTGTTCGACATTTGCTGGAAGGTCTGCCAGGCAGCTGGTGCATCGAGCGTGACACCGCAGGCAGGGCAATGAAGCTGTCCCGCAGGGAAAGCAGAGACAAGACATTGATAAGCTGCTGCTGCAGATGCTGCTGTGAAGGCGATGCCAGCTCTTCAAAGGTGCCGCTCTCGTTGCCAGAAGGCTGAAGATCTTCTAGATCTTCTGCCACTGGCACATCTGCCTTTAACCGCTCCAGCTGCTGGACCTGCGCTGTACCCGCAGCATGGTACGTATAACCAGCATGTCCCTGGCACACCATGTCATGTGCCCAGAATTTGGAAAGCCCAGGTCTCATTAGAAGCTGAAGGCCAAGGCCACCTACGGAGGCCTTCCTATGCTACCGACAGCGTTCTCAGGTTTCAGCCTGCGCAATGAGATCTCCGAGCTTCTGTGACCCTCTCAGTGCCAAAACCTAATTTTTCTCCGACTTCGTGGAGGCATCAGGTGCCTGGAGTCGGAGCCTCCGAACCACATAGACAGCGGCAAAGCTGCAGGTAAGCGCCGGCACCTGATGCTGAGTTCAGGTGAGCTGTGGGGTTCGGACATGCGAGATCGACCGCGAACTTTGAGTCGGGGTTCAATGGTGTGTGCCTACGATTTGCTCCCACCATGGCTAGTTTGTGGACGTGGTTCCTGCAAGTCTTGGGCACATGACAGCTCCGACCAATGAAGGTTTGCAGAATCTTGCCACCCTTCTGCCATGCATCCATCCAGTCATTTGGCTTACCTGGGCCCACCTGCCCTCACAGAATCTTCCTTTTTTGAAACCGGACTTGATGACTGCCAGCACTGCCCTCCGCTGCTCTTCACAGAATCTTCCTGATACCTGTATTTGACACCCGTCATGGCACGTCTCGCTATGAATACCAGTCTTAGGCTAAAGGCTCTTTGCTTCTGAGCACCAGAAGCGAGCTGTTTGGGAAGAGAAAGCCAAAATGCTGCCGCATGGCTTTCGTTATGAATGGAAAGTGCTGTCGTGGAAAGTCTTTGTAGTCTGTGGCACTATATGTGGATGGGAATGCATCCACTTGTCCGTGCCACGAACTGACATCCTTGACACTTTCAGCTTGAACATCGACGGAATGAGAAAGTTGGAGTTCATGTCGTGATGCACCCTCAAGCGCTCAACCATGTGCAACGAAACTCGACTTGAGCCGAGACCAAAACAATTGAACATTGGATGCTGTTCATGACGTTCATGCGGAAGGCTGATGGATACTTCTCTATCGAGCTTCCGGCGCTGCGCTCGCGCATTTCGGCAACGAGCCGCCTTGGCATTGAGTCTGGTGGCTGTAACATTGGCACAGCATGCTGCAGCCTGAAGCGACATCCTTCGACTTCCATGATCCGGCTACAGTCTGTGATGGGTCGCCGGCTTGAGACGCAACTGATGGGCCTCAAAAGTCAAAAAACGCAGGGCAGTTAGGTTAGATTGGTGAGAGGAGCTGCTGCCCAAGTAGATAGACACGTGCGCTCCAATTGCATAGACCGTATCCCTAGCCCTCGAACGCAGAGCATGTGCTCTTTTCTGCGGTGTTGGACGGTTAAAGTTGTCAGCACACTGCGGACCTCATGAACCGAAGGAGTGCTAAGTGGTCTCTCGACGAACAGCCTGCGAAGGGCTTGGCCCCGCACGTTCCGAATCTCATTTTCTGAACGCAGACTCGGAGAGGCTGTACATCCCATCATGCGAAGAAACCAGCGTGCAAAGTCCATTCTGCCAGCCCTGAGCAAAACTTCAGCAACCATGGCTATGGTGGACGGTGTGAGACCTTGCTGCAGTTCGAATTCAGTAAAGCACCCATAACCTGCCGATATCAGCTCAGCCGCCACCCGCCTGCCGTGGCACAAGCAGCAGCAACCGAAACAACAGTTCACACTTCACACCACAGAACGCAGCTCAAGAGTGACAGCATGGAGTTATGTACATCTAGATTTCTGCAGACAACGCCCAGCATGTCCGACCGTCATCTTGATCCTCCCTCGTTCTCTTCTTGAATGCCGCGCTCTGCGAGCTACACACACAACTCGTAGCAGTACACGGCCGGCTGGCCGCGCATGTGCATGCACGCATGTGCGTGAGGGTGTCTCTGTGACGCCGGACCTCTAGCCTGCGTACCCCATCTAAAGCCTTCCTGTACATACAAACACGCACACACACACAGACAAATCATGTTCCTGTCTCCGTTGTTGTGCGTGCACGACATGCACTTTTTCGCACATGTCCTTGAGCACACTTCACCTCGAAGCTTCAGAACCCCCGAAACCGTTAAACTCCCTTATAGTCCCGAAGCTTCCCAAACCTTCTATACACTCGTACACGCCCGACTAAACGCCCAAAGCCCAAAACTGGTCATCCCACGGCTCTGAACCAAAGAAATCGAGTGACCACTGCCGAGCGCCGGCACACGCGCTGCAGGTGACTCCCCAGGCTGCCGGCTCCTGCTTCAAGAGTCGCACTATCTATTCCCTAAGTGATGTTGAATATGCGCAAAAATCAAGTTGGCGCAAATGCGAGAAACCTTTGAATCGCTGACATGCAGAAGCTCCCAGTGAAGCTGTGCCCGGCTGGCCGCTGCTAGCGAGTACCTTGGTTGCGACAGACCTTAAGAAGGCCAATCAAGCTACATCAGCAGCAAGCTGATGTGACTGCAGCTCTCAATGCGGTTCAGAACACTAAGGCATCTCTAAACTTCTACATAAAAGCTTCCCTCATGTTGCTGCGGTGCAGCATATGTCCTGCAAGACGTCCTGTCAGAGATGAACGATGTCAAGCCACAAGGCCCCACTCCAGCTGCGGCCCTTGGCGCAAGCGCTGGCCACCGCAGCGAACGTCCGAGCATCGGGGCGCAGCTGACTACAGCCAATTCTTTCCAGTAGGGCCACGGCCTGGCCGACACGAATCACATGCGTGCTTCACGCACATCTGACATCAAGGAATACTCGGACCCCTTTGCTTATACCCACTTGCAAGTTCTTAAGGCAGTGTTGCGGCTCCTGCCTCGGCCCAGGGCAAGCCTTTCTCGCCAGCCGCGATTGTTGTATTGAAGGTTGTCAAGTTGGCCTGACAGATGCACAAGGCAATGCCGAAACGCTTCGGAGAGCTCCAGAACAGGCACAACGCGGAACCACTGAGGCAATGGTTCAGGTTGCCTCGACCCGGTGCTGCCGCATGTCTTCGAAGAAGTGCATGGCCTTTTGCCACTGGTGGCCCTTATCGCCTTAGGGCTCGCAGGCAGTAAAAAAGACCGTGTCCCTCTCTGCCAAGGCCTAGCTGGATCCAATGTGCAAGAAAAGCTACAGGAGAGCTCTGTATCTCTTGGCATCAAGGTATCCTCATGCACACCACTAGAGCATGCCGAGCCCAGGTAGGCTTTCCTGTCGGGCTTCTGGACCTTCATGGCAAATCCATTTGGCCCCACGCCAATCAACGGATGGCCACCTTTTTGGGCCGAGTCGCATGAAGAGATGAGGGCATTGAAGCTGATGGCCGTGGGCTGCAGGCCCCTGTCATGGGCATGTCTGTACAGCATGGGGATCTTACTGATCTTACCCTCACAGCCTCACCCACCCTTTGCCAAGCCTTGCTTGAAGAAGTTCAAAGAAGTGCAGGGCATAAGCCCATGGGTCTCCCGCGCAGGCCGTGATGCAAGAATTGCACGAGATGGTGTCCTGCAATATGCTCAGTGCACCATGGAACGGGATACTCTGCAAACCTGCATTAAGTTAATCAGCAAGATAGCTCTGCTTGAAACGCGCATGCGACTCACACGAGTCACAGCCTGAACTCAGCCGAGATGCAGGGCGCGTTAGGTCTCCTTGATCCATCTCCAACCACAGTGCAAGCGCTCCGTCCCATCTCCGAGCACGTGCAAGACTGCTCATCGCTGAGTTGTAGGTCACCAAGTCGGGCGGGCGAGCCAGGACATGGTGAGCCTCGCGAAGGAGATGCATGGCCCAGGTCCACTCTGCAGCTTTTTCGCAGGCAGCGACGGCAGCGTTCCACATCACCAGGTCCCCCTTGAACCCTGGAGAAGCTTCACTCGCGGCTTGCTGCGTCCGAAATAGCAAATCCAAGGCAACGACCCAGCAACTGCCGTGGCGACATGCGTTAATGGCTGTGGTGTAGGAGACTACGTCAAGTGGTGTGTGGTCGGCCTTGTCGGAGCAGCGAAAGATGCGAAGTGCCTCGACCCATGCGCTTCCTCTTTCACAGGCACGCATCGCAGTGTTCACTGCGACGGTGGTAGGCTCAATCTGCTCCGTTCGCATCTCTGTAAGCACACGAAGTACCTTCGGCCAGTTTGCTTTCTTGACGCAGTTGGCCAGCAGTTTGTGAACCTTATAGCGAGACCTCAGAGTCCCCATCCAGATCTTCACAGCCGCCACAAAAACTCCAGAACTTCATCCAACGAGAGGGGGAGGAGTATGCTTGGCTCTCGCCGTGCTCTCCAATCGCAGATGTCGAGGAACTGAAGGCATGGTCCCTCCGAAACACTCGACAAAGCCCGGACGTAAGTTTATCTGATCTCAAAGTGGGGCCAACCTGTATGCTTAGCCCGGTGAGTTGCATTAGACGCCAGTCATGTCGAGCAAAAGGCGAGTGCACGTGGCGGCTTTACAGCGAGACGGCGGCGTTATGTCAAGATGCACAGAGAATAGTGCCTTTTGGTATTTGTGGTATACTATACTACAATACTGTATACCTCAACCACATGAAAGACCACCAAAAATAATATGCATCAGCTTCGGAACGGAGCTTTTCTGAGGCGCCAGCAGCCTCGGCGGCCTCTTGGCAGATCGCAGCCTGGTTTCCGCCAAGCCAGCGCAAGTCTAACTCGCCTCTTAGCCCCCGCAAAGCCCACCATACCAGTAAGTAGAGCCAGAAGCCAGATACTCGAAATGAGTATTCTGCTTGAAAAGCATGGACACTTGAAGCCCAGAACTAAGTCAATACTTCGACTGGACTGCCTCGCCATCCCCGCCAGCCTGGCAACACACTGAACAGGGTCCAGGCTTCTGAAAATGCTTGGACGATCGTGGTTCTTCTCAAGGGGGTATGTATGTATGTATATGTATATATATATATATATATGCGAACGGCTCCTGCTACCGGAAGTGACCTTGCTGAAGAGCCGGGTGTAGCACAAACAGATCACGAGAAGACGGAGATCCTGAACAAGATGCCCTCGGGCAGACAAACGGTAGTCCTCACAACCTGCTGTCAGAAAGAAGTTCATTTGACACAGGAAAGACCGATAGACGGAAAATCACAGACGGGGGTGCTGCGCGTGTCGCAGCACCCACACTTCAACAAGTGAACTGCAGCGCCGATGGCAGCTTTGGGAAACAAAACCGAAGCGGCCATTGGATACCGCTAGATACACTTCAAGACTTTGCCAAACCACCAACCTCACAGGATCCAAGCTCGGAGCCTCTGCAGATGACTTCTGTTTGGACCCGGCTTCGTCCTTCAGATGCCCGGGATCAAACAGTTCTTGAACGCTGACATGAGCCGCAGTTGCAGTTCGCGCGTCTCACAAGTCCTCCAAGTTTCGTAGAGCTTTCAACCTCGCCTGCAAGTATCACAGACACGGGCTTGGGCTTATGACGTGGTGCTTCCCGTTTTGTGGCGTAACGTGTTGTACCATGACGACCGGACTCCGGCATAACCCTTCGAAAACCGGCGAGGCTTGCAAGCTGGAGGCCTGCAAAGTGGCTCTGAGATCGCTGATGTCTGAAGGCAGCGGGCTGCCGTCATCGAAGAAGGGCTGGCAGGGCACAATTCAAAGAGCATAGAATTTTTGCTCCTCAGTACCGTCTGCAAAACAGCTTCAACGCATTGCGGCTGCGCCTCTGAGCCCTCTGGCAGCATAGTGGGCGAGCTCGGAGAAGCAGGCTCGGAGCCCGTTCCTGAATCCTCGTCTTCCTCACGGCCTCCGTTTGTTTGCAGGAACATGGGGCAGGTGAAGGCACCTTCAGCACAAAGCAGAAGGCAAATCGCACCTTCCCTTCGAGCTCTTCGCCGCAACAACCACTCGCGCCTGCGTGCTAGCGGTCCTAAACAGCAAATGAAAATACCACCGGAACCAAAAAGCTTTGCCTGAGATAGCTTTGGACTCTGCCAATGGAATGAGAAAGCTGCCTCTTTCGCGAGCGGTCGGAGAAGCTCGCCAGAATCTCCTCTACTGATGGAGCTTCAAGTTGGAGATGCACTCGCAATGACAGAGCCGACGGTTTACAGGGAGGAAGTTCATCCCTAGTCTCCACTGTTGTCGAGCCAGCACAAGTCCTGCGATTTGGCTTCAATGGCATCATCTGCTTCTTCTTCTGCTTCGACCTGGATAGAGCCTACGCCGAAAGCCTTCCTGACCCTCACTTGGCCCTGCAGACTTTTCGCGCTCAATGCACTTGGCGGCTTTGCTTTCCACGCATTACTACATTTCTGTAGCGAGAATTGCGACAGAACGCTGACGAAGCTTGGCCAAAAGCGTTGAGGACTGCCAGAGCAGCGGTTGCTCCCATGATTCCTGCACCTGACATGATTTTCGTCGACAGGAGACCACCTATTCAGCTAAGCTTCGCTGCCTCGAGCTTCGCTACATTCTACACCGTGTAAACCGGACCACGCTCGAATTGCAACTGCAGGCTGAAACACGTGTGAATTTGCCGAGTACTGTCTCTGGCCTGCCGCTATGCCGAAAACCTGCGAGACGATGTAGATCAAGATGGCGAAAACCTGAGATCAGTCTTGTTGCAGTTACATGCAGTGGGCTGCAGGAACCCTGGAGCAGGCTGCAGTACAAGCAAGCTCGGCTTTATGCAGACAGAGGTGCACCGATGAGGCTTGCGCAGAAGAAGACCATCATGAAGGTGAGCTGCATTCCAGAGTGCACCACACAGCTTGAGGGACCCCGAAGACGCCAATCAACATACTGCTGCACGGCGAAACTATGGCGACTATGGCCAGTGCGATTCGGATACAGCGTCTATGTGTAAGAGCATCACATCAACGGCAACATGAACGGAGAACGTCCTCTAATTATCAGCCTTTTCCAACGGGTGCCTCCTCCCTCGCTGTCTGCCGAAGGCGGCCGAGTAGCTCGAGGAAGGCCATTGCAAGAACAGGTTTCCATGTTATGCAAGTCTCTCAGCAGGGATAGAAACCAAGAGACATCACGCGTTACGTAGTTCTCTCTCTCTCTCTCTCTCTGCCGTGCCAGCATCAAGTGTCTCGCATTACGTAGTTGCAACATGACAAAATCTCACGAGTCTCACCACACGGACTGCCGTCCAGGCATCTCACCGGCGACTCTCTGTGGATGCGGCCTCGAAGCAACATTCTCGGATGAAGCCTGGACTGGCGATGTGGGATTGTGAATTGGCCTTTGGCTTTCTGCCTGCAGGAAGAGCTCGAGCCAAGCTGGGAGAACAGCTGCAACAATCTGTTCATGGCGTAGGTTTACATCTTTAGAAACCTGTAGTGCTTGCAGCTGCGGCATTTCGCGGACACACCTCTTTCATGCCCTGAAGATCCGCCATCTCAGCTCCGTCATCTCAGCCTCCACCCGGACCCAGCTCTTCATCACATCACCTCTCTGCCAGCAGAGCGCCATTGCTCGCCAGCTCCAGCGAGCCACGGATTCCGGAACAGGGCAGCCCATGCAGCTGTAAGACATCGCCACGCCGCTGGTGGCAGGTTTTGTCTTTGGCGGAGCCGCTTGAATCTTGATGACTTCTTCGCTTCATTCGACTGCCGAGCCACTTACGAACTTCCGATGCTCATCACGGCAGTACTGTCATTTCGCGGGTATCTTGACTGTGTGACGGCACGAGGCCCCACCCCGCCAGGGATACCTAAAAGCAGTTTGCGATTTTGTCCAGCCCGGGCTCTCCCCCTCGTAAAAGCCCTGACAAAAACGAAAGAACACACTCCAACTCCTTCCAACACCACCCACGTGCGGCCACAACCCAACCCCCACGACATCCCATGACTGCTGTCACGGTTTGTTCGTCAGCGGCTTCCCGGCAGCCGCAGGCCACGTGCTGCAAGCTCTTCAAGGATGCAAGCGCGGTAGTCCTGTACGGGGCTTGCTAGTCACTCGTTGCGAATCTGATGCGTCTGGCCATTTCAGGCATGTTGACAGGTGAATGTATCGATTTGCATGGCTCATGTTTGAAACGTTTCTTGAGATCCATGCAAAGCCTCACCACGCCTCGCGTCGCTTTATCCGAGCAGATCATGGTAGACTGGTAGATGTCCGAAAAGATGCATGATGGACGCCACGTGACACGTCACCAGCTCGCTTGAAAAATCGAAGAGACACTTGGACAGAATGGGACTACGAGTCATCACGACAATCGACTTCTGACCCTTCTTAGGAAATGCTGCGGGCAACTCATGAATTTGGTTTCGGAGGCAGGAGGCTCATGGATGAATCTGCTCTTGCACAACATTGGTTAGCTTGTTTCGCAACAAGTGCTTAAACTCCTCGAACTCAGGGTCGCATGGGTTGTTGAGCTGATGTCGAAGGAATCCCTGACGGTACCACACGTCGAAGCATTTGTCATACCTGAGCTATCTGGCTGGGCATGTCGCAAAACTCAAGTGTTCAAATCAGAAAAGAAGCCTACGCTGCCTAATTAAAATATCTAACTGTATGAATCGGCTCGCTTGTCCTTGAAGGGTTGACAGATAGTAATGGCCTCCTTGTAGTCTCCCTTCTTCGAGGCTGTGCTGCCAGAAGTCTCGCTGGCAGGCTTGGAGCCGTCCATGGTCAATGGTAGCGGTTGCGGCGGGTAGGGCGGGGGTTTTGCAGGGCTTGGACCAAGAGCAAGGAAGGCTGCACGAGGTAAGTTCAGGCTGTCAGAAGCTACAAGCATGCAGGACTGTGCTTCGTGCTTCTCTTGACATGCATGCGTTCTTGCGCTTGTGAGACGCAAGCATTCGGTTCCGTTTTAGTCATGGAATCTATCAGCCAAGGATGATGACTCCTGACCCAGGCCCAGGCTTCAGCCCGTCCGACCTCTCTCCTGAGACCCGCGTTCGGCTCTCATTTAAGCCGTCTTCTACAGGTCCATTTCGGCCACTCACCTTGTCGGCTTCGGCACACCACGCAGCTTCCTCCAAGGGGCAATCGCGAAGGCTTGGGCTGTGCCTTTCATTTAAGAACCGATAGCATATAGTTTTGCGAGTCCCCCATTGCCTTGCAAAGCTGCTAGATGTTTTCCGCAATTGAGTTATGAACTTCGAGCCTTTGCTGCTCAATACTCTCTTCCCTCAGCTCCCCCATGACCAGTCGCCAACATGACTGGCTCCCTTTCTACACATATCGTTTCCCAACCCAGCTCCTGAGTTCGGAGGCCGGGACTCGAAGCCGTCCGGGTCCATCAGTTCCTGGCCGTGGCTCACTGCGAATTCTGCCTTTGACTTTAACACAGCGCCGGCCAAAAGCCACATCTTCCATCCCCTGCCCGCTGGTTTCAATCCAAGCGGCGCGTCTCCAGCACCCGAATTTGCAGCTCCTCAATTGGCGTGCGGTCAGTTGCTCTTTTCTGCATCTGTCAGGACTAGAAGCAGAGGCTTCCCGCCTCACGAAGGAGGGCAATCACTGCTGGCCGCACGACGGCTATGCCACCTTCTGAAGCAGGAGAGACAGCCGGTCCAAAGTTGACCAAGACCATTGTGCACGCACTGACACACACACACACATACACACGTGCACGCACGCACATATGCACCTACATACAGATTTAAACACTCAGGCATACACACCGTGCACAGACACCAACAGGCCGCAACGCTAACTCATGTATCGAACGTGACGAAAAAACCTGAGATGTTTCAGAAGAAACCCATCTCTTCGGTCAAAATTCTCTGGGACGGAACCTGGGCTGTTGTTGCCCACGCCCGTGACAATGATGAAGTCACCAAGCTCCTTGCTGCCCGAACAACACGCAACGCTTGACGAGAAAATCGCCGTCCGGCACTAAGAAGTTAGCAGGCATAAGATGCCACAGAGAGGAGGATTGGCTAGAACACAACGATTCACAAGAAACACAGCGAACAGAACATCCCGTCCTTGGCTGGGGCTTTTCCTGTGGGTGGCCCCAGAAGCAAGTCTTCGAGGGCAACCTGAGACTTCGTGTGTTCAAGGAGTTGCACGGCTTGCTTGAACATCTCATGGAAACTGCGGCAGCATGATGTGTGGAATTTTCCCGGTCTCAGCCTGCACCGCAATCTTTGCAACCTCGACAGGCAGGCCGTGCAGGTCAATCAAGGCAGCCTCAGCTGAGGCGAGGCTCCATGCATCCTTCTACGCATCAGATCTCGAAGCCAGTAACATGGAGGCCTGCAGCCAAAACAGAACCTTTGGCAACAACAACACAGGAAGTGCATGTCATTGGATCTGCCGAATGCTTTTGCTTCTGCCAGTTCCGCAAGACAAGCTCACTGGAACATCAAAACTGTCGGCCAAAGACTCTGCTTACATTTAAATATAGAGGGAGGATAAGCAATGCCCTTGCCACCGGGGAACTCCAGAGTCGGTAAGGCGGTAGCTGAGCTCCTTGGCTGCTCGCGATGACCGCGATGCCCAAACGGCTCCTTCCCTTAACGCCGTGGGCCGAGAAGCCCTCTGCTCCTCTTGCTGGTCCGGCTCTGCCGCCTTGCTCACAGGCTGCGTGGCATGATTTTACTATAGGTTAGCATTTCAAGCGTCAGTGCAAGTCTGTGCAGACAAATGTTGTTCCTGCCGTCTACCAATCTATCAGCCGGACTCAGTGCATGCCTTCACTGCCATGGATGGCGTGGTCTGGGTCTCCTCTTGCTGGTCCGGCTCTGCCGCCTTGCTCACAGGCTGCGTGGCATGATTTTACTATAGGTTAGCATTTCAAGCGTCAGTGCAAGTCTGTGCAGACAAATGTTGTTCCTGCCGTCTACCAGTCTATCAGCCGGACTCAGTGCATGCCTTCACTGCCATGGATGGCGTGGTCTGGGTCTCCTCTTGCTGGTCCGGCTCTGCCGCCTTGCTCACAGGCTGCGTGGCATGATTTTACTATAGGTTAGCATTTCAAGCGTCAGTGCAAGTCTGTGCAGACAAATGTTGTTCCTGCCGTCTACCAATCTATCAGCCGGACTCAGTGCATGCCTTCACTGCCATGGATGGCGTGGTCTGGGTCTCCTCTTGCTCCTCGACATTGCCAACCACCTTTTCGTCCTGAAAGCTCGGTTCTTATCGGCTTCGGCGGTAGCTTTGAGAACTTCTGCTTGTTTCTTATTCTTCGATTGTGTTCGGGCCTCGGTCTGTCGGACAGGTGGCGGTGGCCGCTGAGGGCGTGGTTTCGGCGGTGCCGAACTGACGGTCAGAGCAGGAATTGGAGCAGCGGCACAGGCTTGACCGAAGGGCCATACCATACTGTAGCGACGGATCTCACCTCACGGGAAGCTGCGCCAGCTGCGGCACCTGTCTCAGCTGGATGCCTCGCCCAGGCAACGCCGCACTTTCCACTACCATGGGCAGAAGTCCCGAAGTCGGCTAGGCCTGCGCTCAGCTCGAGGCCATGCTCCAACATGTGAGATGTGATCCAGAGGGCCTCGCACAGAGCTCCTATGCTCCAGAATAGTCGGACTCCACCGTAAGACTAAGATACTAAGACCCGCCTCCTCCCACTCCTGGGCTGATGCCAGGTGTGTCAATGCACGGCTGCACTCCGTGGAGTCCTCGGTTGGTTGCTGTGCATCAAAAAAATAAGCATGATGCCAAACGACATTGCAGGAATCGCAGATTCACGATTGCGCTTCCACGCTGACCCACATTGTCAAGTCTGCGTGTTGCGGGGCACAGAACCGGCCCAGACGTTTGACCGTGATTTCTGCAGTCAGCAAATTGCAACTGGGCGGCCCTCAGCAGCGGGGACTCCTTGCTCACTGGCCCAAGTCACCATGAACACGCAATTGGACGCTCCCATGCTCCGGTGCAGAAGGTGCACATGCATGCATGGCAACTTCGCATTGAACTGCCACCCACAGCCGTGCCTTGAGCAGTTCCAGGCCAGCTGCAAGCTGGTTTGCCTCCATCTCTCGAAAAAGGGGAGCAGCCAAGACTGTGCGAGTTTCGCTAGAACCTCACCACAGGAGTAAAGCCAGCGTTGGTACCACGAGAAAGCTCGTCTATAACTAGCATTAGGGAGAGGAGCAGGATCGGAGGCTTGGCATCAGGGTTCTTATGCAGGGTTTGAGGATGGAGGGCTGAAATGCAGGTCGAGGGTTCAGGGTCGAACGGCTTTGCCCCTTCCAATCCAAACGATCCAGTTCTTGACGGACCCAGCCTCGAAACAAGCCGCCAGAACAGTCTTGATGCTTGAACTGCTCGGCTCCTTGTTTGGCATTGACTGTGGCAACAGTCGGCAAGGCAGCAAACCTGCTTCACAAAGAAACGGGCTGATTTTGCTCCGGGCGACAATGCCCAGGGACGGCATCTTCTCCCTCAAGATTCCAAGCGCGGTTTGCCATTGCCCAGATTGCCTGAGCAAGCAGTTCCGCTTTCAGCCCGAACCTCTCTGATGCCGGCGCTTAGTTGAATGGAGCTTCAATGAAGAGCTTGCCATCGAACACTCCTGCTGCTGGCGAGGATCCGGCAAGCACTGAGAACCAAAGTCGCGGTAACCACCTCGGTTTTCGAAGCCAAGACTCAACAACCCATATCAGCTTGAAGTCCACGCCGCATGGTTGGCAAAAGGCTGAGCTAAAGGCATCTGGCAAAAAGCCCCGGCCCTGCATCTTGTCCAGCAGATACATTGCCTCAGGTCTTCGGCTCATGCACAGTGACATCCCGAAAGCCCTGCGCAAACTGCACACCAAGAGGCCCAAGCCCACTCGCCGCAGGAACCGCATGTCCTCTTCTTTTGTTGACAGTGCTACAGTATATGGCCGGAGAAAAATGTTCAAATCATGCATGGAGTCTTGAGGCTTGCCTTCACTGTGCAGGCAGCGCGCCTCACTGCTGCGGTAAAGCACAGTGTGTCGATGGCGCCAGACCCAGGTTTGGCAAGCCTATCAAGAAGCTGCTGGCTCTGTATTGCCAGCTGGCGACCAACTGCTTCTCGGTCTTGCTTTCAGCGACACCAGCGTGAAACACAGCAGGTCACGCAACTTGGAACCTTTTAAACTGTAAGCTGTCCATGCAAGGACCACGAACCCTTCGGCCGAGAAATAGCTATACCCTTTGTAATTGCATGAACCTGTACATCATTCTGTTCTGGTCATGGCATTGTCATCGGTACCAACAACGGCACTGCAGCGGCAGCATCAGTCTGATGGTGGTAGCCAACATTCTTCGAGCAATGGTGTGCATACTTTGAAGTTGCCCTGACCTTCGCTCCCAGCCGTCCCTGAGGCCTTTCAATATGTGCAACGGCCTCCTCCCAAGCCTTGGCTGCTCCAAGCGCCTCCAGGCATCGTGGTTGCGAGCTTTTCGATTCTTGAGGGGTGTGCTTCGTGGGGATTTGGGGTGTAAACTGTCGTTGCAGTCTCCAGCCTCCACCGACAATCTCCGCACACTATGCCGGACTCTGCAAGCCTAAAACAAGCTACGACAGGCCTCCGGTGTCACGGGTTGCTGACGGAATATGGTGAGCTGGTAACAACAACGCAATGCTTCGCAACAATTGAACAACAGACCTGTCCAGAGCAAAGCTGCAACATCTGTGCATACATCGTTGGAGGTGAGCTTCATGGGCCTTTTGCTACTACTCTGCGGGACCGTTGGCCGACAAATGACTGGCTGTTTTTCCACCGTGTACAGGATGACTGCGTCGAAACTAGAAGCTCTCGCAGTCCTTGCAAGCCCATGCAGAAACAGCCCCGAAGCCTACGTAGCAGAACGACGCGGTACGACAGTGATCAATTTTGAAGCATCCGATGCGGCCCCACGGCTCCCGACCTGGAGCATCAGCCCGACGAGGATCGGATTCCCTTCCTTTCCATGCGAAGCTTCGAGCTTCCCGTGGAAAATTGGTGCTGGGAACTCGCTGTTTATCGTGCGATGACGGGCATCTAGTGCTCGGATAACGAACGGCGTTCGCGACCACGGTCGGCAAGCTTTGCGACTCACCTCACCTGTCCTTCAACCTCAAAGGGGTGCATAAGACAAGCGCAACTCTCACGGTTGAAGCACTAGTCACTAGACATCTCAATCGATCTGTCTGCCAGAGCTCCCGTTCGACGACTGGCAGTCGGCCGTACATCTCGAGAGCCTTCTGCCACGCATTTCCTGGAAGCTTTGGATGCGGGGACAAGGCGAAGCACCGCTACAGGCATGGCTGCAAGGCTGCGTTCTGAGTGCGAGGATCAGTCCTCGCAAGCAGGATGCCATGGTGGCGCTGTGCGTGATGACATTGGGGGCCTCCGCAACCGACGAAACGCACCCGGCTGAATCTGCATTGGACTGTCACAGCTTCAAATCACCAGCAGCGAAGTGCTGGGCAACATGGCAGCGCAGACTGGGAAGAGTGTTCTCAGGCAGCCGCCAAGGCTCGCAATTCCATGGAGCAGAACAGATCCAAAGCACCTTGCCTAGGCTGCATCCAGTTGTGCTTTCGCACTTGCTGCTGAGTGCACAGAAGAACCCCTCTGCAGGCAAAGTTACCAGTGAGAGCCTTTGTGGCATGCGCTGATGGTGGTGTTGTATGTGATCTCATTTGGCAGTCCCTGGGGTGTCGCCATGAAAACCTCCAGAGCGGCTTGCCAGTCGCTCGCCTTCTCACATGCGTTGATGGCCTGCAATGCTTGAGCATACCGGTCACCCCCTCTAGAACCAAGGACACCTAAATCACCAAGTCCCGGCATATCTCGGCCCACACTGAAGACCAAGCGGCTGCGTTGAACGAAATCAGATCAGGAGGGACGGCCACCTCTGGCATCTCGCCTGGGTGCCACTAAGTGTCATGGAGATGGAGGTCAAACTCAAGAAGAAGAGAATCCTTACTTGTGTTTAGCCTCGGCACAGAGGAGGGCCAAAGCTGGCCGTGACTGCTGGCCTGTGTCAAAGGTCGAAGAAACGATGGCAGGAGCTTCACTAGCATCATCAACGGCAGGAATAAGCGGCCTCGTAGCACTTCTTTTCCGCGCAGGCGATAATCTCTGTTCGATTCTGCATAGCTTTGGCAGTTCTTCATGCAAAAAAGTTCGCCTTTCCTCTTCCAAGAGGAAGCGGATAGGAAGCGGCGTTGCCGAGTGAAGATCTCGTGAAAACTTGTGCAAGCCATATCCGCAAATCAGTCACAAACGTCGTTGGGCACCAGTTTATTTCTCCCCAGAAGTGCTGAAAGCAGCGGGGTCCGGGGTTGACTAATGCGGCAACTCCGCTAGAGCATTTACACTGAGGCTGGTCCCTCATGGAAAACGGAGCCATTTTGGAAACAGCTGATGAGATCTCGCTGTCTCAACGCTGTCCGCGTGCTGACATCAAACCTGCTTTGGCGACCGTAGGCCGTCTTGCATCTCCGCACCACAGCGAGCTGGGACGCAGTTCTGTGGAACGCCCAGAGCGCCTTTTCTGCACCGATCGTGCTGGGATCGGGACTGTAGATCGTAATCACTCCACGATCAGCCAACCCACGAAGCTGTCAGGGTACTTCTTGGGCATCGGTGCCCTTGCTTCGTTCTCAAAGTTGCGACGTGCTGCGACCATGTTGTACTGCAAGTCGTTTTTCCTGCGCAAAGACTTCGCTCCTTGTGGGTCTTGCAGCTTGTAAGCTGTGGGCCTCCAGAGCATGTACGCTCCGGGCGCCGCTGGCGCTGCGAAGCGGCAGTTGACGCTGGCTTCGCGTCCCCGGCCTGCAAGGAGAAGCTGCAGCAGCTCTATCTTTTTTAGCTGAGTCGAAGGGCCTGGAACGCCGTTGTAAAGCTCGCCGACAATGGAGGTGTCAAGGGCGAGAATTAGCCTTTGCATCGTGCCAGAATTATTCGGCGGTTCAGCACTGAGCAAGGGCAGCCGAGACTGTTCCTACTACTTGAGAGGGCGCCCAAGGCAAGAAGGTAGTTCCTGAGTATGCAAAGATAGTCAGCGTACAACATTCATTACCTTCGCGCTTCTCTCAATTGACGGGGCATCTTGGCTTGGAAAGTGAAGCTTCATCTCTTTCTGCCAAGCAGCTGCTGTATGCAACCGTCCGCGCTGTTGTTTTGAATGCGCACTGCCGCACGCAGATGCACTTCCTGGCAACGATCTCATCGCTTTGCATGCCCGATGCTGCGACCCGTCACCTATACCTGCCATGCCGGAACAACTCGCGAAGCTGACTCAAGCAGTTCTAATTTACTGCTGCGCTGAGAAGTCCACCGCTGAGACACGGTCTGAGAAATCGGTGCGAGACAGATGCCTGCATACAATTACATACATCCGAGCAAGAGCTCATTAATAACACACCATTTACAAGAGGGCTGAGGGCATTCGCCTGAGGAGGTTTCAGTGCAAGCCAAAAACAGACAAGAAAGCCCATCCATGGACATATGCCTCGCCAGGGGATACGTGGATGGAGTGCATGGGAACATCATCCACAAACAGCTTCACCTCAGGTGGAACTGCGACGGGGACTACTGTTGTCCACGCTGATTGTATGTCAAAGCCGTTTGGGTCCCCTGTCCCTGCGAACACCACCCTGTGAAAGTCTCTTAAAAACTCAAATCATGTCGCACTCGAACATGAAGCCATGCGGAAGCGAGCCTCGTGGTTCCAGCCGCTCAATTCCATCATCCGTCTCCGATTCGCCTGACTGGTCTTTTGTAGAACGTCGTTTGTTGATTGGTGCTGGGACGCATCCGACATGACATCAGAACACCTCGAGGCTGTTTTCCAGCTTCCCCCAGCACTGAGCGTCATCCTGGCGATCTTTGTTTGTTTGTTCGCAGTCGTTGAGAGCTAGAAGTTACTTGGTTGCTTCTGCCCGGTGATAGCTGCAGAAGCACAATAGGCCTATGTAAGTGGAAACAAGAAACAAAGCACACGGGGCATCAGCCTGTTGAAACACAATCACGACTGAGATTTTGCAAGACTCCGTCTCTCTTCTTCAGTAGCCGAACTGTCCTCCAGCCAAGCCTCAAGCCTTGGGTGCGCGAACACTTCCCTGAAATGATGGGGCCTGAAGACCTATCGTGAAGCCCCTTGCAAAACTTGGTAGTACAGGTATCTAATGTACTGTACTGCAACGTCGATTGCTGCGACCTCTTGCCCACCTGCCGAAGAAAGTGACAAGCATCTGTTTTCAAAGACCCAACCCACCAACCCCGTGCCGAGCCACTGATCAGCCGAAGCATGCTGCTGGAAGTAGCCTCGCCTTGCGCATCGCCATGGCCCATACATTTGATTCAAAGAGGGCTCACTTGAATGCGCTGCAAAAGCAAGAAGGGCGAGCAAACCATACAGTATTTCTTCGTTTGCAAAAAGATGGTGGACCTGCCTGAAGCAACGCCGATCAGCCAGGAAACCGAACAAGCTTAAGGAGATGTTTCCCCCTCCTCTACTGATCCACCGTTTCGCGTCTTGGGAGATCCCTGCACGCCCTTCATCTGCTCGAACTCCGCGACCGAAACAGACAGCATGCACGTAACAATCCCGTGCTATATGGGAAACAGTCAGGCCGGGCGGCTGAAACATGGAAAGATTCATCCACGGGTCCCTTCTTGTTTGCCCCCACAGGGGCCCTAGCCATTAAAAATGGTCAAGCCAGCAATCCAGCACCAGAGACCCCAATCATGTAACCATGTAGCCAGTATTCCATTGATTTAGCCCGTGCGATCCTTGAACGGTCCAAAATTTCGGTAGGTATATTGAACAACTACATCGATCCCTAAACTCCGCCCCTTTGATCAGTCAGGGACTTGACAAAACATTAAGTGTAAAAGCAAAAAGTGTACAGGGGTGCGGGTTCAACCGATGTTAAATTTTCTGATGCTTGCAGATGCTAGGTACGGACACCAGAATGTATCCTCGCTATGGAATCAGGATTCGAAACGATATGTTTTAATAGCCCGCACTTCTCATCTCACGCAAAGTGATTCACGCCAATGCAACTTATCCCTGCAGTGAAGACTTCCGCAAAACTAACAACCGCAGCCTTGCATTGTTTGTTTAAGCCAATGGGTTGGCAATCCCTAGGGCAATCACAACAACATAATGCTGCTACAATACAACCCGTCGAACCGCATATCAACTTTACATCCGAAGAACACCACGGCGACTTCACATGCAAAGGCCCAGCCCAGGCACAGCAAGGCAGGATGGTCACCATCAAAGCCGAGCTCTTGGGCCCACTTGGGGATTTCCCTGGGCTTCGCGGTCGTGTTCAAACTTTGAGGACATCTTCTGTAAATGAGCGTGGTCACGGGGCGAGAGAGGGCCGAGAGGAGAGGTCATGCGAAAACTTGAAGTGCAGAGTCGTCGCTGTCGAAATGGTGAGCCGAGCAACGGACCAATCACCATGGTCAGTTCCAGAACTTCGGCTTTCGCCTCGGATCACATCGAAAGCTGACCGCTGGACATCGCGCACTTTCGTTTCGCTTTTGGCGGCATGGCTTCGAGGCTCACAGGCCCTGTCGATTATGGAGGCCCTGAAGGGATCTTGGAGGCCGTCTGCGACTGTGCGTGCCAGCGACAGCAATAGTGCAGAGCACAACCGGCGACAGCATCATTGCAAAATAATTTAACATTACAGCGCAATGGCAGTGCTCTCGACATAGTATTGAGCAGCATACAGTAATTATCGCAACGCTAAAGCAACACATCAGCACCAACCCACCGTGTCCTGAACACCTGCTGAAAGCAGTACGGTGCTGCATGTGTTGAAAGGTGCCCTTTCTGGGGCTACGAGGCACGGCTACCGTGAAAGGACCACATCTCGCTACGAGGAACCTCACTGCAGGCCAGGGAACCTCTAAAGACTGGAGGAGTTCATTGTCCTTGAGGACCCGCACTTCCAGCAAAAGCCGCTGCCGATACACTGCGATGCCCGAGGACTTGGCCAGGCAGGACTTCCTGGATGTCACAGAAAGCACTCTTTCCGTGCCCGTTCAAGCTTTAGCAGCTTTAGCACTTACACTCTCTTCCCTGTTCAATTGAACCGGAACCTAAAAATCACATTCTAGAGGCTATGGCTAGATAAACCTAGCCGCCGAGCAGCTGCAGAGTTTGTTTGCAGCAGCTTCAGGTTTGAAAAGGCCAGTTGTAGAACATCTGCAAGGTGTTTAGCAAACTCGCAAACTTCAAACACAAGTCCCCTGCGTGTGGACAAAATCTTGCCAGGCTAAGGCCAACATTCCAAGGTTCAGGTATCGAACGGTGTCGCTGGGCAGGACGGTCGCCTCGAAACTTTGCCCGCTGACTGTGGTTGCCAGCACATGGACCGCCTGCACATCAACACAGCTCCACAGCCGAGATTGCCTAGACATCTGGGATCCGCTCCGAAGTGCGCTCCGACTGTCGTTCCTGACTCTCGCCCTCAATCCAAACCCTCCATCGGTCCGATGCGCCTGTGTTTGCAAGGCTTCCTCGCGCTGGGCATCAGTCATGGCCTCGTGCTTCCTTTGGCTGAAAAGGCTTCCCATGGCCCAAGCTACGACGTGGCGACGTGGCACTTCAAGAGCCAAAGCTGCCACATGTGTGCATGCGAAGAGCACTTGCTGCCGACTAGGCCTAGGCAGAACATGAGTTACTAGTTAATATGCTCTTGTACATAGGTATGCTTTCACTGTTGCTGCATCACTTATTGCTGAATCCGTGCTGGCATGCACATACAAATATACGTATATACGCACATACACACATACATACATGCATACATGCGTACATACTACATAAACATGTCTGTATGTATGTAAGTATGTATGTATGATTATGTATATATGTACTACACACGTTACGAGAATCTTGAAACTTTTATTTTGTGAAAGAGACTTTACACATGTCGGCACCTCTTTCGCATGCGCTGATCGTGGCATTGTAGGCGATTTGGTTCGGCCTTGGATCGGGCATCGAATCATCACCTATAGAAGATTAAGTACAAGCCTCAGGCTCATGGACGCGTGGGTTGTTTTGCTTGCAGTGGCTCCGTCCGAACGTTTTGCACTACCTCATGGAGTCGTACATGGCATGGTACCGAAACATCCGTAATCAGTCGTCCTGCAACATTCTTGCTACTGCGCATGGCACAGTGTACTGCTCATCTGAGGCACTGCAGGTCATTGTCGCTGAGCTGCCTCCAAGAGACAGCGATGCCCCCACCCTCCCCCCCACACCACTCAATTGGCATCATGCACAGCTACCGCCGCAACGATTGTGCCGAAACAAAAATAGCAAAGGTACTTAGATCGATGCTTCGGTGAGCTCGGCTGTGACACTGCTTTCTCAGCTTTGCTTGTGCCTCAGCGCTTCTATTGACTTTTCCCACAAGGCGCCACGTCCGTAGGCTGTGATGGCCTGAGGTGCTCAAGGATCTGGGTTTTATCTCAGAACGATGGGATATATCGGGGCAATCTGAAGATTGACAGCTTCAACATCAAAGGCAACAGGACTAAAGACCACATCCACTCACACATGGAGCTGGATCGGCCCCTCAGCGGAAGAAAGGAAGAACAACCGAAACCTCAGATGCCTTCGAGGCGCGATGCTCGTGGCCACGAGCCCGGGCTCTAGGCCCTGACCCTTGGCCTCCGCAAAAGCGGCCAGGGCTCTTCGCCACTGCCGGGCCCTCTCGCCTTCAGCTTTTCGAGCGCTTACTGGTTCTTTCCGCCTTTTCTCGTGTCTTCTAGCTGAACTGAGCGATAAGTATCATAAACAGGTTAAGTTGATGCTGAAGTTGTGCTACTGAAGATTGCCGCTTCCTCAATCATCATGTGCTGGTGGCCGCTTTGCGAAATTCACCTGAATTCGGCTTAAGCTTCACAACTTCGCCAATCGGGCATGTCGGCGTCTCAGTGCTGTCAACAGTCGCTTGGTTCCACATGTTGACTGACTCACTGACGATCGGGGCCTTCAGGCTATTTCACTTGGATTCTACAGAACTTGCCCGTTCTACAACTCTTTCAGCAGGTTGGGGCTGGGCGGTGTGAAACTTGCAGCTGATGGCTTTGCCGCGGTACGGCACATCCCGAAACGACGACACGCCATCTGTTATCATTCCGAACGACTTCTAGCCTGCAGTTTTTCGGGGTTTAGGTTTATGCGGGATATTTGGGAAACTGCAAGTTTGGGAGCGGCATGCAGTTCAATCAAAAGAGCTGGGGGGCCCACGGGTAGATTTTCACTGACAACATCTAGTCGCTGCCGCAGGCATGTGCTTTGCAGTTGCTGCCGCGGCACAGGCACTCATAACAGCTCCATATAGGATCATATCCGGCTGCATGCTCGGCGCTTGTTTGGCGCCCTGGCTTTGTGGCTCGACACAGCCCAAGCGAGTGGAGCTTCCTTGTCCCACATTTCCTGCCCTGCCTTCTTCGTCGTTGCTACAGCCCGCCAGTACGAAACCCCCTGGCCTCCAGGAGCCACACGGCATCTTCCCAAAGGCTCACCGTGGCTGCCTTCGAGACGGCCATGGTCACCTCCTGGGCGAAAATGAAGATTTCGTGCATCTATCGGGTCCTCCTCTCCTCCAGCTTGCAGCCAAAGTGTCCGACAGTTTCGTCAACGCCTGACGACGATGCATGATCTGCAGCTCGTGGGCAGTCTGCCGGCCAGCAAGAAGCTTGACACGGGAGTTTGCAGGCTTAGGCATAGCTCGAGTTTCTTGCGGATTGTCCAGTTCGCCCTTCAGCAGCGACCATCCTTTGCCTTAGCCGCCTTAGCCTTGAGCCTCTTGGAGAATGTACCCCCTGCCAACAAATAAGATCCCACTCCGCATGCATCGCGCCGTATCGTAATAAAGGTCTGCGATTGCATCTGGCACGTCTCGGCACAGCAAGGTCCCCTTGCTTCATGCTCCAATATGTCAATACCAGATACGGCTACAGTCTCCGATGCAAGCTGCACCACTACCCGATCGCAAACTTGCGCGCACCTCTTGACGTGCAAGACTTCCATCGCGGATGGAGGCCACCTCGGCTTGGGTGTCCATGGACATACATTCGACGGAACGTGCTTTCAGAGTTTCGTGACGCAGAGTGCCGGCAAGGTACTAGCGCCTGTGCCTCCGCCAGGGTCTGTACCGCTTGCCCGCATCCTGGTAAAACTCGAAGCTGCTCTTTCTTCGTCAGACTTGTCGCTACTAATTTTCTAAAGACTTCGCGCGCCCCCGCGGTCCCGACCTCGCGCTCCGCGCGGTGGCCGCAGCCGGCGCATGAGGCGCTGCGGCCATTCGATGAGGCTTTGGGGATTTTAGGGGCTGAATTGAACTCTATATGTGGGCTCGTGTCTGAACTTGTATTCATCCGCTTAGATGCGAGACATGCAAAATCAATCATGATCATGCATGTGCTCTGCGTGCCAGGGTCACACCGATCATTTAACGGCCCCTGCTGCGTGAGTGTCACGGCGCCTGGCTGAATCATTTGGTAGTTTGTTGGAGCTTTTTGTTTCAGGTCGGTCTAAGACATGTGTTGAGTCAGAAGACAGCTTCCCGCTTCGACTATGGAAATTATGGTATATTCCATACATTCCTTGTGATGAGTACTGCTGGATTTATATCATCAACCGTATCACTACCGTATCACATGATGCTGCACAGTTGTGTTTCCGCCGTCTCCAGCGGCAGAAGGACTTGCATCTATGGCTGTGGCAGCACGTGGCGTGGAAACGCCAGCTAGTGGATGTTGGCACGATTTTGCATGGTAGCAAGCCGATGCCTAAGCACGAAGATCTACGAGTATGGGAGCAATACTTGCAGCGATACCCTGCAAACGTCTCAAACGTGCTTTGACACATCCTCGAAACTGCCTCCAATGAGCGCCTGTCTAAGCTGGCTGGAAACCATTTTGAAGCCGGGGGCATCTCTGTAAGCACGGTCTGTGCCACTGCCAGAGACGCTGCGCTTGTCTTCGCCACTCTCCAAGCAATCGCTCGGCCTCGGGCTGGGAGCAGTGACGTTGATTGCATGGTGCCGCTTCGAACTTTGTTGGAGGCAGACAAAGCAAATGCCGTCAAGCGATCCATGCGGCAAATAAGTGATGGCTCGTGTTAGCGAGCTGGCGTGCGCCCCGCGAACAAGCATCGCAGGTGGGCCGCCGGGCAGGTGCGTTTGCACGAGCCGTCGGTTGTTCTCCTAATCATCCTGCTGAAATATCAATCTCGTCTACATGATGCTGTACACCATGCCACCATGCTGTACAGACAGTCACCTTTCCACATGTTCGTGAGGCGGCTGAACTGTGAAACTTTGCTTTGCCACCAAAAACGGTCTGGCCTAATGCAGCACGAAGGTTTGCTGATTCCTGCGTCTGTCGTTTTTTATCCTGGGCTGATTGCACCTGATGTTCAGCACATGCACACATGCAACTCCTTGCTCTAAAGCATGTTGCTGTACAGCTTCAAGTATTTCCCCATGGCCCGTGTACATAAGCATGCATGAAACACATGTACCGATACGCATGTATGTATTTCTCTGTGTGTGTGCATCTGTGTATGTATGTGTGCATGTACTCATGAATACACGTAGGTTGGTAGGAAGGCTACTAGTTACTACTTTAATGGCTTCTGCCAACCATGTGTATTTCTATGATGGTGAATGTGTTATGCTTGTTCAGTGGTTCAGTACATCACCAGAGCTGGGCTTGGCCCGTTCTCTGCGATTCCGACCTGCGTCACGAAAGCCAGCAAGGTGCCGACAAAGATGCCTGGTCAGTTGTGGATTTGGGCATCGGATTTTAGGGCATGTTATTTTGCGTTTGTTGCTTGTATCGGACATGTGACAAATTGATAAACGCCATACAACTGCACCTGCATCATGTATCCCACGGTCCTACGACACGAAGCATGGAGTAGAAGCTGCCGCTCGTTGCACAAATAGTGTCTCGAGTCTCGAGCACAGCCATCTCTCTCAGAAAGACCTACAATTTCCCAGGCACTTCTTCATAGCTTCTAAGATTCTAGGAGTCTACTTAGGAATAACAAAAGCATGGTCTCGAAGGTTCACGTGGCGAGGACTTGACCCTTCCGGAGCACCTGTCACCATCGTGGCACTCATCGCCATGCCTGGCCCAACGAAGGTGACGGGCGACAGCTTTGGCCGACTGCAGTAACAGTCGGAAGCTTACGGCGAGAGTGCACAACACCTTGCCTGCGACTTCACGCTTTTCCTGCGTACTGCAGCAGTCCGGGCCGTACATCATGGCAAGGTTTGCCTGAATGGCAGCGTTCACTCGGAAGTTCCTCCTGACGATGCTCCCCGCTTCTAGCCAAGACGCTAGCAAGCCGTTGCTGATGGCAAAAAGTGCGCAGAGGCACACCCGGCCGACATCGGATCCTCAGCTGCACAGCAGTGATTCTTCGTAATATGCTGAGGCTCAACATCTGGCTTCTCATCAGATCGGTCCTGCAGACTTTGGGCATGCCAAGTGCCCTCTGCTGCCGGGTGTCCCCACAGGACACAGGCTTCAGGGGAGCGCTGCCCGAGCATAAAAAGTGGAATGAAGACAAAACGCCTCAGTGTCTAGGAAATCAACTGGCAAATTACCTGGAAGAACCCGCGCCGCCACATGCCACTCTAAAGCTCATGAGAACTCATGCTGACCCATCCAGCCATGCTGGCACTTCTCCAGGTCAGAAAGGCAAGCAGCAACAAGACCAGGATCCATAATCGTTTCCTCAGGTGACTACCGCTAGATACAGAAAGTGCGACGCCAGAGTCTACTCGCCGGCGATGAAAAGACTCGAAGATGAAACTTCAAGCCGCAAGGCTGCGAAGCTGGTCCATTCGTATCGGGAGCGCTGGGTTCGGGGTCTCGGCACTACAGAACTGCACGGCCAAAGGTCGGGCCAACACATCTCCCAACTGGCCCAGCTATCGATCGTCCCACAACGTCGCCGACCTGCCGGGCCCGACTATGCACCGTGACATAAATGGACATGGCAATAGACGGCTTCTGCTCCACGTGCCTGGAATGTGCCGATGAGGAGGTTTCCATAAACCTGTGTGGCCTGGACAGAGAGCCGATTTCGTGCAACGGTACTGTAGCTTGCATTGGCTTTTGCATCCATGCCTTTGCGAACGGACTGCTGGCACTGGGCTCCCAGTGCACCATCACACCTGGAAACACGGTCCTTGGATGGTACAAGCACGAGGAGCTCAGGGACGACTGAATGCTGCCTATGATGCCGTGTTCGGGTCCACGCTACAAGCTGCTCGGCCGTCTTGGTGATAAGGGATTCTTGGATTTACGGCTATTCACGTTGCGAGTGCCTCCGGTACTTAGGAGGTGTCGCTTTTGAATTGCGCAATCCTTCGTGGAGACCGGGTCATTGCGTTGTCCAAGAAGCATGGTGACCATGAAGACAGAGCACACGTTCACTGCCTCTACCAACAGGGAATTGACGACTCCCGGTGCGGCCGAAACAAGCTCTCCAGCTGAGCTTGAGCTATGCAATGCTGCAGCAAGAGGGCCAGCTGCCCCGACATGGGCGTCACAGCTGTCCTGCCTGAGGCCAAATTTCTCCGAAGATGGGCACCAATCTCTTCCAGATCTGAGCCCAACTGGCTTTGCTGAAGTCCTCAGCGGGGCAGGCTATGGCATATGCATAAACACGAATGCCACTGGATTGTGCCGGATCTCTGGGGGCCGGCAAGTGTCTGCTGTGGAGCTTTGCTCGACTTCTGGGAATGAGATCTCTCTTCCGGAGGCCTGGACATTCGGCAAGAAAGACTCACTTGCAATTGAAAGTTACGGAGTCGGCATGAGACAGACTGCACGCACCGTCCGCCGGTTCAGCGAGAAGTATCATGGTTTGATCCTTGCCAGCTAGTTTAGATGTTTAGACCTAACCCCGAGCAGCCGAAGGCATTCATCGTACATCCTTTGCCACGTTGCTTCAGAAGGAGTCGCTCGCTGCTGCTCCAGCATGGCGATGGCTTCAGCAGTCTCCTTTCTATGGAATTTCCCTTTAGACCGTACCGTGTCACACACAGTTTGCAAGTGGGACCGCCCCAGCTGCATCCTATACTCACGGAGCCTCAGAAGTGCAGTCGCTGTCACAGGCGAGAGAGAGAGAAGGCGCGAGAGATAGGGGCATGCACGGTAACAGACTGCTGCCCTAGCCGAAGAGGTCCGGAAGTCGGTAGCGGAGGTACACGAAATAGACCCAACAGGAGGTGATTGTTTGCAGGATGCATAGAGCCTCAGAAGTCAAATTGGCATGGGACATCTGGGTGCTTTGCCAAGACATTGAGCTGGCCATGCAGCGGCTATGCTGCATCCACCGGAGACCCCTGGGTTTCCAACCCAGAGGAGCAGGGCAACTTCCATGCCAGAACGTGCAGAGTCGCCGCTTTCCCGATTCATCGCCTTGTCGGGTCGGGCCCCATTAAGCAAACGTAGGACGTAGTGCAAAGCCACAGGTCCGGCCAAGCCAAGCTCTTGACAAGCGGCATGCTGCACAGCCTGTATCAGAAGCGAAATGAAGAAGCTCACCTTGGTTGCCAGGAAGCAGCTGAAGTGCAAAGAAGCTGGGACCTTCCTCCCGACTATGCAAGCCGGGCGGCTAAACCGGACATGCCCAAGCCAAGCATGACCGCTGCAGACATCTCAGAGGTCATCGAACCTTCCCGCACAGTCCTATCTATGCCGGCAAGGATTATCAAGCTTATCACTCACGCCTAGCGAGAAAGCACCTAGCAGCGGAAGTGCGGATTTCGACAAGGCGGCGCCTGCAACGCCAAAGACTCCAGTCTGAAGTCTGAAGGACACGAGGGAAACCTGCGAGATCCTTTCGTAATCATGGGCATGACGAGTGAAGTCTGGTGCCTTACTTTGTTTATGTCGTTTTTGACTTGTCTTGTCATCGGAGCTTGGCTCGGTCTAGGAATTGCTTAATGCGCGGGCAAGGCTGTGGCGGCGCCTGCAACGCCAAAGACTCCAGTCTGCAAGATAGAGTTCGACAAGGCCAAGACCTGGCAGGAGGGCAAGCACAGGAAACACAAGTCTGGGAGTAACAGGCATGCGCCGCTGCAAAGGCCTCCCCGGCTTGAGAACTCTGTCAGCGGACACAAACCACAAAAGCTGTCAAGATGTCTACTGTTCGACAGGGCCAAGACCTCGTTGAGAGAAGGTATTGGATGGGGTCGGCGAGGATGTGAGACGCAGAGATGCCATGGAAGGCGGCTGAGGCCACGACGGCGATAACCACTAACATCGGTACCTTTCAGATGAAAGACGTGCCAAGTGTGCCAATGCACGCCGTCTTCACGAAGTGGCCTACATTGGCTGTGCTCTGCTCGGTCCCAAGGCTGCCGCATACCATCCCGTCGCACTGGGCCCAGACGATGCCCACGTCAAGCCTCGGTCCCATCGTCATCATGAACCTGACTATTGGGTCGCGCGGCTTAAGAATGCAACAGTGGTAGAGGGTAGCATGTGGTAGCCAGATCATCATTGCTCTTAGCAAGCCTTACCAGATTAAGTCCTGGCATTGCGTAGTTGCTACGGATTATATTTTGTCTCAGTACTACTTGCATATTGTGTCCTTATTCGTGCTGCCCCTTGAGGCTCTGCATGTTCAACAACCTCGGCTCGCTGAGGATTCCCGATGTTGTGTCCGCAAGATGCTTTGTTTCATAATTTACAAGCTGTGGCATCGTGTCCACGGATGCCACCAAGCTGAGGTCGGGTCCAAAGAAGGCCGAGCACACCAGAACTTGCGATATGAGCGCAGTGCCCATTCCTGCACTGAGCGGCATGTGCCAGGAAAGTTCAATGTGCGTACTTGTATCGGTATGCGAGTATGAATGCGTATAGTCGGATGAACGTGTGTGTGTGTGTGAAGATTTGCTCAAACGGGTGGATGACATGAACAACTCAGCCCAGCTGCGCTTGTTCACGGAGATACCGTCTCCTGTGCGCGGACGAAGGAGCAGTGCAGAGCGAAACGTTTCAAGATGAAGCCAGCTGCACCTATGGCTCACACTCCTCTTGCGACTGCATGCGGCGGGTCCTCTGCAAGTCAGCCAGATCTGAGAAGAGCAGAGGCACAGAGAATATGTCATCATGCCTCAGCTGTGACACGGTAAACGGCAGAAAAGCAAATGCAGCAAGGTGAAGATGGAGCCGACAGCATGTGGACAGCATGGCAGATGACAGATTGTGACTTAAATGCCCGCGGGCAAACACAACCTATGTAAGGCCATCTGCTTGGCAACTGACTGCTACGTGTAACAGCTGGGAGACGGCTGCACTAGACAGACATCATCAGACATACACAGTTCTTCACCATTCGTTCCACATGTTTCCAGCAACCTGTTGTGCCTGTCAGCTGATGCTGCCGAGATTGCTCGTAAACGGGAAGTCCAGGTCCTTAAACGGATACCTGCCAGAGTATCAGCGCTTTGCTTGACCACGGTACTGTCTTCAAAACACCACAGAACGGTAGGCAAGTGGGGACAAACAGACCGTCGCCTAGAGAGTCTGTTGTTCGGAGATACAAGCTCTTCGCAAAACCCTGCGAGTCTGCGTCCCGATGCCAAACCACGACAAAAAGCAGCAAGTGGGACGAGCCTCCATATGCCTCGATGTATCAGCTAAAGCGGCCATGATGCGTCTTTGCTTTCTTCCGAATTTCACCCTGCAAGAAGCCGACCCCTGTCTCATGAGACATAATGCCCCAGTTCTCCACCATGATTTCCGTTCTCTGCTGGCCCGTTTTGCCGGAAGCATGCCAGCGGCGCATACGATCACCATACAAGGAAACAAATGAGTTCCGGCCCGTACAGGCAGCCACAGGACAAAGGAACCAACGACAGAAGGCAGCCGAAAGCTACCCTGAATGCCCGCGGACTGGCGAAGCTGCGTAAAACTCCATCACCTTGAAAATCCTTCAAACGCCTCCGTAAAAACTGAATCATGCTAAGGAGCTCTTTGAAGTATGGCTGCACGTTTAAAAGGCAGTTGTACGGCAGCAGGGTGCAGATGCCCAGGTACATTAACGCCAGCTGCGCGCGGCTGTAAAGCATCCTTAGTCTGCGTTCAGACAGGTCGATTATGCTCGAATCTGCCAGCCGATGTGCTGCTGCTGGGAGGAACAGAGCTGAGAACAGGACAAGCGAATGCCAAAATGTCATTGAAGTGTTCATTCTGTGAAACACCCCTAGAAATCATGCAGAGAGGACTCATGAAACACCTGAAACCTTAATATTCACAGCTGTTGAGAAAGCATACATAGTACATTATAAATTTCCGCGACGAAGTCGGATCCTGCACCCATTCTACTTCCCATTATGTGCGAGGGAACTATGATCTATGAATGGGAAAAATGTGTATATGTACAAGTTGTCTAACTATTAGTCTAACTCCTGATATCTATATCTCTATATATATATATATATACATACAGAAATGAAATATGTAGCTGCGCACTATATATCCATATGTGTGTGTATGCATGTATGTATGTATGGATGTATGTATGTATGTATGTACGCATGTATGTATGCATGCAGGTGTGCATGCATGTAGGCATGTTTGTATGTAATCATGTGTTTACACACACGTAGAGATCAACAAATAAGAATAGTGCATGCATAAACACAGGCGCGTATCTATGTATGTAGTTTCCAAAAATGCCAGGCTCTTAGTCTGCAAGGACCAGCTGCTCTTCCTCCTCGTCCTTGTGCCGCAACAGCTCTTTCCGCAGAAGGCCCAGTGCTTGAACCATAAGGGGCTCGGGGCTTCGCGTTCCGCATGCAGCTTTACTGCGAAGTTTGAGGTTCAGAGTTCAAGCTTTGGTACCGTGTTTAGGGGTATTGTGGGCGCCTTTTACAAGGTTGGTGTTGCTTTCTCGCGGCCCGTGGCGCCCAGTGCCTGCTTGCCGCATGCAGAACTCCTGCCAGCTGTCAGTCTGCTCCGACGGCCCTTCCAAAGACTCTACAGAGCTAGATAGGTGGTTGTGAAAAAAGGACCCTAATTGTGACAAACACCCACATGTTGCGAGCACCATTCCGAGGCCCTGGCACAGGCGCATAGCTCCCGGCCTGGTCTCTCGCATTTCGCCTGCAGAATGACTCAGAATGCATAGAAAGCGGATTCAGTCGACTCGGATCCTGTGCAGAGTGGCAAGCATCTTGCCTCGCACTTTTCCTTGAGCTCCTTTGCGGCGAGTCGCTTTGTGATGGCTTTGTCTGAGCCAATCAGTGGCCCAAAGGAAAATCCACACATCCCTACGTTGCTGAGCCCAACCGAAACCTGAGATTAAGCTGCCCTATGCTTGTCATTGCTTGTCTGAATCTGCATGCCCCGTTAAAGTGATCAGTTCCAAGCCAGGGGAGTCTCCGGATCCGGTTCCGGCTTCTTGTGTCAACAAACTCTGTGAACAGTCCGCTCTGCCTGAACCGATCCTGGCGATCAAAACGACCTGCACGGATCAAAGCGTGCAATCCTCTGGCATACCCTGGTTCCACGAACCAGCCTCGCTTCACATGAGCGAATCATATTTTTCAGGTTACCGCACTGGTCTGTATATCAGCTACCATCGGAGGTCGCTGGACGACTGCTCTTGCTGAACTCTGAAGGGCTCGCTACTCTAGGACCAGAGTGCATAGGCTTCGCAAGCCTCAGGTGCGGAAACTCTCGTATAACGTATAACGAATAGGAAGCGCACAGAAACTCATTGCATCCACCAGCTCGTGACACCGGTGGTGGCCTGGCAAGGACTTCAGGTTCTGACAAATTCCAACACGATCTTTGCAGCCGTCCGGCTGCGGAATTCATGGAAGCGCACTGGCTGTGGTCACCCCTAGGGAGGAGGCCATGTTCCCTCCAAGTCCAACAGGCCGAGCGACCTATAATTCCGGTCGCTTGGGCTTCTGGATGCGAGGCCACGCCTGGTCGAGCTGACTAGCAATCACGGTGTTCTTGCCAAGGATGCTGCATCAAGAATCCATGGAGTCTCTACAAGTCAGACTTCGAGAACTGATGCAACACCTGCTGTCTGCAAGTTGGTCGTCACATCACAACCGAGCTGCCTTGGTTGGCGTGATTTCATCGATGAGCCCATAGTCCTGTGGGGGACTCGCAGGAAGCTGAACGGTTTGCATGGAGCTTGCGCCCTGGCCTTGCGGGCATTCTGATTCCGCAAAAACCGGTGACCATATTTCACTATGAGAAAAGCTCTTGTAGAAATGCCAGAATAAAATAACAAATATCAATAGTATGCACCGATTGCTAGCAACTGCTGGATGCCATATTCGGCAAACTAGTGGGTTGTTACTTTTTAGCAGTTGCTAGCTCATACTTTCTTAACCTTCGCGGTTTGCCGTCGTCGTACCAGCCGTGAGCAGGAGGGGATGCTTGCTAGTCCTACTAGTCATTCACATCCACATAATCATTGAGCCAGGACCTGAAGACCCGTACTCATCATGCAGAACTTGAACACGGACATACAAATTTTCTTGAAGGTAACTAAATATGCGAGTGGTATGCCCCCGGAAGCACGTCTCGCCCGTTTCTTCTATTGCACCACAAAGAAGGATGCATGCCGTGGCAGCTAGATGGAAGCCTTGGCTTCCTCCGGAGTCATGAAATTGTCCCTGTCGCAGTCCTGCGCCGTAGCAGAGGCTTAAGTTTGACATCGGAGCGAAGGCTTGGTTGGCCTGCCGGCGAAGCATCTCCGTCAACGTGCGACTCGAAGGGTCGATCCAATTTGAGGTTTCAGGCATGCGGACAAGGAAGACCTTCGTTCAGCCCCACATGGAGTAGCCGAACAGCAATGTTTCTCCAAATGTTGCAACCTCCACACGGAACCATGTCGTTCTGCACCGGCTCCTTGGCGATGATGTCGATCGGCTGCCCGGTGGCATCCGCCAGATGCATGTTGAGAATTTCACCTTCGGCATACTGTTGATTGGGGAAATTCTGCTCAAGACCTTAGTAACTCTTAGTATGCATGCACACGGAACAGCGCAATATTCTGTCTATCGACGCTACACAGCCGGAATGCACCACATGCAGCCGTCATGCTTTAAGACGCTTTGACTTTATACAACTTTACTGGAGTGGGAACGTTGCGGCCACGGCTGTGCGTATCTAGCAGACTCTGGGCGCAACATACAAGAAACACCTGAACTCTGAATTCTGAGCACCGCACGCATGTGAAGGATCTCGCGAGCCTCCATCAAATCGTGCAAGTCGAGATTTGCTCCAACGACATGCATTTGCATCTGCTGCGGGGAACGGCGGGCTGCTTGTGCATGAGGCTCAGAGAGGGACGGCCCCTTCGGCGACTTGGTGCTTCCGCCACATCTCTCCGCACAATTAGAAGCAGGGACTGGCTTACCCTGCTGGGTTGTACGGCCGCAGAAACAAGCCGACGATCCAACATACAAGAACATGCTGCATCTGTGCGAGAGTGCCCAGCTACGATGTGGATCTTTCTTTGAAGGGCATGGGGGCGAACTCCTGGTTGGCACGCCTTTTTTTGGTTGAATGATACGGCTCGGATCGAAGGTGCGGTTATATGTCGCTGTGGTTCGCACGTCGCTTCTCCAGGGCATGGTGCGAGTCAGGCTCTGCCCCGCCACGAGGGATCCCCTATGTTTTGGGGCTTTGCAGCTACATGTGACAACACTTGCCCTGCCTTGACTGTCCTTAACTCTTCCGGAAGGACCTCTCGCATACCTCTCTCTCTCTCTCTCCCTTTTTGTTGCCTCTACCTCTTGCTCTTGCATGTTCAACTCTTCGGTTTTCACAGGTGGCCTGGATCCGGACGTCGGCCGCCTGGCCCTGCGCTCCGCCCAACGGCTGATGGATCATGATGCCTCGGCATCGCTCAGCTGCGGATGCCGACTCAGCGGAAGCTCTTGTGGCGGTTGGCTGTGGCATTGCACAGCATCCTCAACGGACTTGTGGTGCGCATCCGGAACACCTCACCTCATGATCCTTTTTATGCAGACAAGTCACGGGAGTTTGGCAGGCTCTTTCCTTATCCCAGCATGCACGGCACTTGCAGGGCGATTCCGATCAATCCTGCAGGCCCTACACTATGATTCTATGATCTATCCAGGAGGCGCTTGCCCTTGGTTCCAGCAGACAGCAGGAAAGAGCCCATGGAGGCAGCCATGCCGAAGCATACCGTGCTCACCTGGTTATGCCAGGAAAGGTGCATCCTCCCTCGTTATGCTCTCGCAACTCGGGCGCCACCAGACGAGGTCTCTCGGTTCGGAAGTGAGTTGACTGGTCAGATTTGACTAGACGCTGAAAACCTCTCTTAGACTATGCAGCTGGGAGCAAACGAACTGCTGCCAGGAGGCATCACACGGAATGAACTGCATGGTGTCATAGATGGCCTTCAGTGCAGCCAAAACAACTTGGCTCATGCTTAGCAGCTGTCCACAAAAACTTGCAGCGGAGCGGCCATTCCTGCAGAGACGGATCCTCCTGGAGAGTTGATGTACATCGTGATGTCTTGGTTCGGATCGGTGTTAGCCAGGTACAGCATCTGAGCGACCAAAATCTGAGCCATCTCATCCTTCACCTCGCCACCCAGGATGATGATGCGGTCTTCAAGCAGCTTGGACATCACATCGAGCTTCTCACCGCTGCCCGTGTCCACCATCGGCATACGAACCGGAGGGACGGTGTTGGGTGGGTCTTGCCTCCTCGGATCGATTTCGGGCTCTCGTCCTGGCTGGGGCCCGGGCTGCGGCTCCGCCTGGCGAACAGCCCGACTGGAGCGGCTCTTGCGCAGGGCAGCCGCAGCCGCCACTCCAACGGCTCCCAAGGCAAGACAGCTACCGGTCGGGCTGACTGCGCCTACCGCACTTGCTGGAAGTGCGCTGCTCTGCCGCTGTGAATCCACCACCTGCGCGCTGTGCGGCTGCAGGCGGAGGGGAACCGCAGGCGCGACGAACGCAGACGCCAGCCATGTGGCGCCATAGGCGGCTGACAGCCCTGTCAGCGCCACGGCGCCAACTTTGGTGCGCGTCCCTTCGTGGCGCTTTGTCGCCATCGCTCGGCGCGGCAAAGAGGACCTCTTGTCTATCAAACACCCCGCGCTGCAACGGCAAAGCCACACGGTCATTGCATGCAACCGACATCTGCAAATTAATTAGTCAATTCCGCAAGCAGCCGCCGTCTCCTAGCACCACGTGCGATCAATACTTGAAGCATTCTTCTGCAGTCTTTGGATGTAATCTCATAAAGAAGCCCGCCTCCAACAGGTCAGCTCCTCTCCAGACTCGCTCTCGTCAGCGCCGATCTCTGCACTTGCTCGGCCTGATGGAGCTCTTCGTTCTTGGTTTGCCCGGGACTGAATAGTGACGTTCTCTCGTTCGCAATCGGAGTGATTCATGGAGTATATGGCACATTGTGGATCTCATTCTGCAGATTCCATCCCATCCGCGGAACTCTGGAATCGGTGGACCTTCTGTTGCAGTGCTCTTACCGTATTTATTGCATCTCCTGTTCTCCCTCGCTCACACTCGCTCCACTCCTCCCTCCCTCCCTGGCTCCCTCGCTCGCTCTCCCTTCGCTTGTCCGCGGTGTCCGTCAAGCCCTGCTGCGCATTTAGCGCCCCTGATTTCAGAGAGAGGACCGTGGGACCTTCAGGGAAGGAACTCATCTGCACACTTGCGTGGTTCTTCTTCAGGGCATGGGGGATAGTGGGCTCTCGCTCTTTCTCTCTCAAGTTGAAACTGTCCGCTGGCACAGCTCACTGCATTGGAGCCTATGACGGCGAACATGACAGCCGTGATCTGAGTATGCCGAAGCCACCTTCTGGGCAAAGATGAAGGGGATCGATCATGCCCACTGCCAGCAGCAAGAACACTGGCCTCCGGGCTAGGAACGTCTGTGGCTTCACGTGTGCTCAGCCTACTTGGACCCAGAGCGCGGGCGCGGCTCAGGTCTTTCTGCAGGAAGTCCGAATTGAGCATGTTTTTCTGTCACACCGTTTGACTCATAGTCGTGCTTCTCGCAAGTGAGTCTATGGCTGGACTGAGAGCGCCACGCTGCCACGCAAGCCAACCTCGGTCTGTTGCTGATTGATTGCAGAAGCGAGGCTCCTAATGGTGCCGCCGAGAAGTACTTCGAGCACAGTTCAAGAGAGTGGCTCCTCTTAGTTGAGGCTTATACTAGGCCTATATTGCGGGTCTGCGATTGCCAGGGCTAGTCGGTTTGGTTTTGTCGCTGTACTTGCTGCGAACTTGTGACGCGATGCCGCCTGCTGTCGGCCAAAACTGGCCCTGCACGAAGAGCAAGCAGCAACGGGTAAGTGCACCCACCACAGTGGTCGATCGCACACGGTCATCCGTCAAGATAATGACGGGTAGTAAACTGGCTTGGCAGCACTGCGAGCTTCTGCGCAGGCGGCAGCAAGCCCAAAACGACAAAAATGACTTCTGTAACGACGGGTGTGATATGCCCGGAGCTTGACGGAAAGGCAGATTTGTGCACTGATTTGAAAGAGGTTACTCCTTGCATGTCAACTCGCTGGCTGCACTGCACTGTTGCTGTTGGCCCAAGAGTACAAGAGCAACACTTACACGGTGCTTGCAGCTTCCGAAGCAGCGTCACCATGCGTGGTTCTCAGCTTGTCTTGGCAACAGCAGCGCAAACATCTGCTTATGCAACCACCTGGCAGCCTGCGCACGGCTTGCTCTCTCACCCCCGTTCAACAGTTTTCAATTCCGCAAGCTTGCACTCGCTGCAAACTCCTACAACCTCAATGGGGATTACGATGCGCGGCTGGCCTCATTGTTGTCTTTCGGACAAAACCAAGCTGGAGAACAGGCCTTGAAATGCGGTGTCCTCACAAAGTGTCACCGAAACAAAGCTCGAGGATAAGTTCGGGAAGACCCTTGTTGGTGTTTGGTGTGTGACATTCGGAGGTGAGGTTGGCCTATTGTCGTAGTTTGTCCTGCTTCTGTAAGTCACGGCGAAGGCCCCACAGCAACCAGGGGGCGAAGATTTAAGCTCGAAGGTGTGGTGTTTGCCGCGTTTGCTTCGGAACAACCCACCAAAAACTTCACGAACAAGCACCTCCGCAAGCTGACCGAAGCTACTACAAGTAGATTAAGTAGATACTACTAGGTTCCCTTTTCGAATGAGTCAAGCCCATGCACGACTCCTGCTTCATCTCGACATCCATGCTGATGAAGGGCGGGTGCTTCATCTGCTCACTCGTGATCTTGGATAAGTGTGTTGACCCGAGCTTCGGAACACCGTGATTGGGTCATAAATCATGAACGTCTGCAGTACACAAAGGCTTGCTGGCATTCCAACTGAGACTCGGTGGTGCAGCCGGGCTTGTGCTGGACTTGGGCAGGTCGTTCAAAGTCAAACTGCTGCAGAAGTTTCACGAGAGTCACTTTCTGCTCCAGCACGCTGAACCTTCATCCGGTGTCGTGTCTGAATCCGCTGCTTGAGAGCTTCTTAGACTTAGAGATGCACGATGCCACCTTAACACTTCCTCAAAGCTTTTTCGAAGGTACACCAAACCATTTTAATGTGACCTGGCATGCTGCCTGACCTGTCTCTGTCTCTCCCAAAAGCGGCGACGGTGCAAGATTGCTGCTTCCGGGCCGCTCCCTTCCGGTACAAGCTCGTGGGCCCAGTGCGAAAGGGATGAAAGCAAACTTCTCTCGAGGAGCCTCTGACTCTTGCCAACGCTCTGGCCGGAACGTCGCGGCGTCCTCACCCCAGATTTTCGGGTCATAGTGGATGGCCATGATGTTCCTGGACAGGCTGTCGCCCAGCAACTCATGACAACAAGCAAGAATCAAACGTGCAAAGTTGCTCCGAAAGAGCTCCGTTGCTTTCGTTCGTCAGGCCTCTATCCTCTGATCTGCTTACAGAGTCTGTCATCTCCGACGCTCACAAAACCGGAGAAGCTTTCAACGATACCTCTGGTTCTGTAACATGTCTCTATCAAAGCTATGTGATATCCAAAGCCTCTGTGTGCAACCAGAGCTGCACAAGGACCGGCACGCCGTCTGGAATGCGCCACTTCTTCCCCAATAGCTGGTCTCCCTTTGGATAGCGCACGAAGCCCGGGGCTGGCGGAACCAGCCGCAAGGTTTCCTTGATGCAAGAGTCTAGGTATGGCATCCGGGCGAAGTGGTCCCACTCCAGAGCGCCCTTTCCCACAACCTCATCTATTTCCTCGACGAGCTTTGCTTTGCATGCCGGGTGCGCGCAGAGATAGCACAAGCACGAGGCCATGGCAGCTGCAGTCGAGTCTTGGCCCGCAAAAAGAAAAGTCAACACATTGTCTGTGACCATGTCACGGGTCATCTGACGTCCGCTCTTCGTGTCACTATCCAGCAGCATCACGTCTAGAAGATCCTTCCGCACACCAACGGCTGAACTGCCAGCACGCTTCTCAATCAAATCGAGGCAGTGCTGCCGGAGCCTCTGGCTCTCTCTGCGGAACTCTCGCACGCGGAAGGGCATCAAAAGTGGGCGCAGCCACTTCGGACATCTGCTCAAGTTCATTAAGCAACTGATAAGAGTGTTGAGAGAGACCACAAGTGGAGGTGTCTCAGAAGACTCAAAACAACCCAGCGAGGTGCCCAGGCCGCAGACCGCAATAGTCTCCAAAGCCATTTTGGTAACCCAAGTGTCAATATACAGCACGCCTCCATGCCCAACGTCACGACGTAAGGCCCTCACGAGCTCATCGGCCTGCTGGCACATCAGAGGACCCATTGCTTTGACCCCTCTCGAGGAGAATGGAGCTCGAAGGATTCGATGAGCCACTTGCCACTCGGGATCCTCCGTGCTGGCAAAAACCAGACCGCGACCGAATGATTCCAGGAGCAGGTCACCACCTGGCGAGAACTTCAGGAAATCCTTCGTGAATCGATCGGGCTCTCCTGTGCTGACCTCCTCCACAAGAGCAGTATCGGCCACACTGATCATCCTCATACCCAGGAACTCTCCACAGAAGACCTCACGGGACAAGCCCTCAGGCCCTCGCGCTCACAGACCCACAGGCGCGGAACATTGCTGGGCTGCGAGGAGAACATGGCTTTCAATCCGCAGGCAGTGTCGTACCCACAACTCAACACCACCCGGCGGCAGCATCCGTAGGAATATGAATTCAGACACGGGTCGTGCGTATTCTGCCACACCCTGAAGTGGCATGCTCAAGCCAAGAAACTCTGAGTCCCTCCTGGTTCAAGACGTCCAGCGCCCAGCGCGCTGGAGCGAAGCTGGCATTTCCGGCCACGTAGCGTCGCAGGCGGAACAAGTGCCTTGCCGGCACAAGCCGTGTAATGTTAGAACCTCCAAGAAGCTGAAACTGCCTCGAGACGGCAGCCTAGTCATATCTGCTTAGATTCTATTATTGCCCATACAATGGCCATGTGCTGCCGAGTGCTGCCGAGCCACCCGAGCAAGGGCTGCCACCCACCTTCCGCTTTGACAGAGAAATCGATGCATGCAATCATACAGGGAGAACGCATTTGTTGATCTCCACATAAACTGAAACCTCGCCACGTTGGATTATGATTACAGACATTCTTCGAGGCAATCCACAACACAAGCTGGAACAAGATCTTCCTGTCGAGCCGTGAAACAGAGCATCCGCCACCATACCGTAGCCCCTGATGCCCCTGATCCATGCTCACCCCCGGTGCCTGCCATGGGCACCTCGAGTCCCTGCACTGCACCACGGCGTGCGCGGCGTGCGGCGCGGCGGGAGATCTCCAGGAGTGATGTAACCTGGGCATAAGCTACGATCTAGAAGTGGAGCTTGTGTGCTCACAAGAGTATCTACTATTTTATACTATTGCATCTGCACCCGGGCCGTGCGGCCGTTCGAGCGGACACTTCTGCCCTGTCGCGTTCGTCTACATTGGAGTCTACATGAGTCTGCTGCATGGACATATACGATTCATGTTGGGAGTTAGTATGTACTGGGGCCCGCGCCCCAAGCAGGAGTGTGCCCACCACCACAATTCGCCCCGACGACAAAGCTTGGAAAGTCGACTGCTTCGACTCTGCCATGTTGGCCCTCCACCAGCCGGCCAGCGTGAAGCAAGCGGCAAAGGAGGACTGCTGCACACGGTGTCGGCTACACTGCTAGGAGCTGAAAGGCAAGTACCAGCCGCTCGGAATTCAAACCGTCCATTCTGGGAATATAGAACGCAAACCTGGCACGCATACCCCTTTTTCTCGACGAGACATGCGTTTCAACACTTCGAGTTTTGAGTTTAAACGTTGGCATCTGTGAAGCTCCAGAGCCCTACACGGAGGAACCTGGATCCCCAACATGCCTGAAGGCACAGAGCGTTGCAACAATTCATAACACCCCCATGTCCAACCGCCGGCTATCGTTCTACCAGTCTACCCAAAACGGGGCCGCCAAGGGACTATAAGACACACACGGCCTTTTGCCCCTAGCTGGAGGCACGACTGTCAAGATAGTCAAAAGGGCAAAGTCCAAAAACAATTTCAACCCGGCCCAGCAGGTGCAGAAACGCAGGTTGGTTGCGAACGGTTCGTTTTGGCAAGCTCTTGTACCGGTCCAGCCGAACTCACTCGGCGAACTTGAGCGATGACTTCTTGCCGTTGCGGACAGCCTCAAGGTGTTCTTGGAAGTTTGGAAGCTTGTCGAAGAGGCTTCCCCCCGCTTCAATGTGAGAAAGCATTTTGCCCTCGATTGCTTGGATGGCCTCTGCTTTGGAAAGCCATTCCTCAAGCTCACTCTCGGAGCACACGACAATCCCATCGTCATCGCCAAGGATGTAATCTCCAGGCTTTACAATTACTCCACCTATCTGTATTTCGACTTGAGTATGACCCCTCTTGTTGGCAGTTCCAGCGTTGGGATGATGCCCACGACAGTACACAGGCAGGGCCATCTGCAGCAACAAGGGCGTGTCGCGGCAGTTGCCATCGATGACCATGCCACTGACACCTTTTCGGGCGGCCTCGTTTGCGATAAGCTCACCAAACATCCCCCCTGCTCTCGGCCACGAAGCCCCCGCTTCGCCACCCCCGCACGTATCGATCATGATGACTTCCCCGGCAGATGCATCGTGCACAGCAGCGAGCACCTCCAAGAAGTCCCCATCGATAGCGACTGTTCGTGCTCGCCCTACCATGTGATATCCGGTCTTTAAGGGCCTGATGCCTCTGACGACCCTCGCCTTCTTGCCGCTTGCATCGCACAGTGCACAGGTATCCATACCAGACAAACGAGAAAGGACCTCCTGCGTATTGCCGAAGCAACGGGTGCTGACTGGGGTTCGGGTACCATACATTCCAGCAGCAAGGGCCATGGTGCCTCCAAGCAGAACCTTGCGAAAGCCTGGCTGTCCCATCGTGGAAACCTGGCAGGAAATTTTCAAGATGGGTAAACAGAGGTAAACGGAGAGCACCACTATGCTCTGTGCGAGTAGCATGTGCAGCGGCTCCGCAGGGTTTCAGACCTGCCTTGTGCAAGCGGCGAGCAGAGGAGAGGCGCAGCATGGCTACGCGGGACGGGGATATGCCGTTCAATCTTTCAGGGGGACGACCCACCCCTTGCAAACCAAAATTAAAATAGTGCAGCTGGCTTCTGTAGAGATGCCAGCAATACATTTCAAACTTTCGTGCACGAATGTGTGCATAATGGTGAGCATGCATATCTGCATGCTTGGTAGCGGGTTTGGCAGGCACTGGACAGGAGAGATGTCGAGACGGAGCGTATGCAACACAGGGCCGGCTTCAAGATTGCAAGACATCACCAGCTACATAGTCAAACTTCTGCATGCACAGCATGCCGAACCACTTGCATTATGCAGAATCACACCCACCCTCTACTTGGGACGCACTGGGCGCGGCACAAAGACGACAATCGGCCTCCCACCTTCGAGGTATGCTTGCGAAAGACATAGATGGAGAGAGGGAGAGCGAGCGAGAGGGAGAGAGACAGGAAAAGCATGTGAAACAAAGAAAGATGCATCACATTCCGTCAAACTCCCAAGTCTCCTCGGAAGACCCTCTGGACTTCAACCCACCAAGCTCTTGTGGCTCTAAGCGCTGCTGCCTCCCCGGCCGTCAGCATCAACAAAGGCCAGCATGCAGGCAACTCCTCTGCATAACAGCAGTCTTGGGAGCAGCAGCTACCAGCACTGCCGTCACCTAGTCCTAGTCACTGACCTGGGATCCTGCGACGACTTGCCTCTGGGAGCGTGCCGATTGACCCTGCAAGCTTGCAAAACACCATGCCCAGATTGGCAACCGGGCCTTCTGCTGACTCAGCGGCAAGTCGCCGGCAAACGCCGGCACCTGGACTGCGCCGCGCAAACGCCACAGGATGGCACACTCTCGGCACATGTTTCCTTTCTTGCTTCAAAGCTTGCGGCTTCGTGCATGCAGAGATAGTGCGCCTGGAAGCTCTTGCACAGGCCGGAGCCTTGACATGTGGCGAAACGTGTTCGTTCGCCTTTTGTAGGTCTGCCTTTCTTGAGGTTCCAGTTCAAACCCCAAAGAATACTTTCTTGAGGGTGGCACAATGGAGCGTCACCTGGCAGCGAAGTCTGAAACCCAACTGAACTCCCAGCTCAGAAGGAAGACTAAGGAAGCTCGGGAATAAGCATTCGGCAAGAGATGGAACCATCATTAGAAAGCACAAAGCAGCAGTCCCGCACAGGTCCACCGGGACCTCCAGATCGTGCTCCAACTGAAGGAACTGACCGGAGCCGCTGTCATCTGCCCAAATGCCTTGTGCTTGGTGCGGTTTGGACAAGAACAGGCCATCCGAGAAGGCCGCTCACGCAAAGAGGGTCTGCTCTGCTGCTTTTCTCCACAAGCAATCATCGGGCGACCGCATCAAGTCACACTAGCTGTATCTAGCAGCCACTATCAAGGAACGAGAACTTGAAGCATCGAACCATTCACGAGTCTAGACATCCCCTTTTAGAAAGTACGCCTTCTGACTGTTCCTTCACATCCCCTCACGTCTTACGGAAAGATGCTACGCCCAGCACTGGACAAAGGCGATCAAATTCTAAACCGCAAATGCGAATTGCACGGGAACCTCGTGTACATTTGAGCATGTCTTGGTCGAACATGTGGACGACACTATTCATCGCGAGTTTCCCAACAAAAAACGACAACAGTCTGTGAGCCGCTGCAGCTTGCAAAAAAAAAACTGCCAAACTTCGATGCTGCCCTGCTCATAGTGGCTGCTGTACTTGTGCGTCTAGTCAATACCAGTAGGAGTCTAGTCCAAGATTCTGGTCTAGTCTTCAAGTGACTGAAAACCGTCAGGCAGTGGCTCCATGCTGGGAGGCCGGGCCAGGTTCACCGGTCGCATGAATTGAGGGCTTTTTCACATGGCTAGGTCAGACGCAGGCACCTCAGCTTCTCGCCTGTCAAGATGCAGTCGCTCATGTGTATCTGCTTACAGCGTTTGTGGAAAACATTGCACTGGGTCCAGGGTGCAAGGAGGTGATGTGTGCGGCAGAATAAAGGAAGGCGTCGCCAGGCATTGGCAAACCCTCCGGAGGCATGTAAAGCAGATGCGAAAAGCCCATTTGCAGTACTGACATCTTTTGAGCAGCAGTGCTCGTCACAGGTGGACATGACACTCACAAGACTTTGACTCATGTCGCTTTGCCTCTGCGATCTCCGAAACGTGACGTTTGGCTACGCCCACACTGCAGGCGTGGACCTACCAGAGGCACTGCGAGCCGCAACGAAAGACTTCTGTGCAACAGCTGCCGCTACAGTATATGAGCATATGATAAGGCTCGATGTGAGTAGAAAGCAACATCAGCATCATGCATAACTACATAAGTCTGCTTACATGTTGCAGCTCAAGACTCGCCATCTTTGCAGGGCCTTTGATGCAAATCGCAAGGACGAGAGGGTTTCGCCCAAATGCTCCTGGAACACTTTCTCCAATCATAGCAGCTCACGATAAGGCTCATTCTGACAAACAGGGCAGGGCCCTCTCATGGCCGGGAATGGCGTGAGGGCAACGACTGCGTGGAGCAAGGGACTTCTCTGGTGGTTGAACGAAGAACACGTCTCTGACAGATTTGACACTTCCACACAAATTGAAAAAATCGAGGGCTGCGACAGCTTCAGCTAGGAACCCATTGAGCCGCACAGTTCCGAATTGACACGGGGAGCAACTTGAAAAACTCAAGCAAGCCCAGATACTACAATCACCTGACATGCTGGGTCCTGCAGTGGGGACACATTCACGAACCTGGCAGTACCAGGCGACTTCATGACTGTTTCTACACAAAGCGCCAGGCGTGCGCTTGTACATGCGCCGCCCCCGTGTCTGGGTCCACAGAAACAGCGGCTGCAGCTGTTTGCAAGAAAGTGCTGTGGTTTGCTGGGTCTAAGCACGAAAAGTTATTCAGGGACAGGACAGGCATTGCAGTTAACGAACCCATACCAAATCTTTTCGCTTCTGACACGAAATTACCGAGGGCAGGACATCAGCGTCTTCGAGTCTCCGCCGAGAGAATCCTCAGTTCGCTTGCACGAACGCTTCTGAAGCTTGATCGGTCCCGTCCGACTCTGGAAACTCAACAACATTGTCACTCCGGCTCCAAGCGTCTCTCAAGAGCATCGTCAGCCGCGAATTGCGATACCTAGGCTCCGTCAGGTTTGAGATCGTTCAAGCCATGACACAGCGACGAAGAGCTCTTCGACTCCCTGATGGTAAACTCGGTATGTTCGTGGTCCCGGTTTTTCTGACACAAATGGCTCGCGGCGGGATTCCTGCACCGTTGTAGGGCGATGGATCTGCCGACTCCTAAACGAGGCTCCTGGAATCTCCCGAAGCAGCTGCACATTTCTACCGGCTACGTGTCGGTACTTTTTTCCACCTTCGCGTGGGGACACGAAGATCTAACGATGAAACAGTACGCCGCAATGCTGTAAGTGGAGGTGCAGCTGATCGGATCCTTCTCAGGGAAGCTAGCATTTTCATGATTTTAAATTTCGGTGGACGAGCAGTAGGGCAGCTTAGCCGGCCCCACATGCTCATGCGCTTCACA